CGCTGTCGATCCAAACGAAGCCCTTCATCGCTGGTCGACCGGAAAACCGCGAATCACGTAGAAAGGCCTCGACAGAACGTTGCTATAAATCCCGTGTTGCATAACGATTTCTGGTTTGGCCTGGTCCTTATCCCATTAAAAGCGGGCCCATAAGAACTAACGCGGGATAAAACGGTTCATATCGCTTGCCGTCCAGAATTAGCAAAACTATCGACGTAAACCATGGATGCTGGCAGTGTCTATGAACGACGCTTGTTTAACGACTAGATAACACTAGTGGCTAGTGGTGGCGCTAGTGACTGGCTCTTTTGATATGGCTCGCCGTGCTGCTATAAGAAATCGATAGCAATATATTTCATTATGAATATTACGTACAGTATGAGAGAAAAAGGTATGCAATGAACGAAACCAGCCAGGTCGTCAGCTACAACAGGCGCAAATGGTGGTCGGACCTAAGCTAAGAAAAAAAAACAACGCGTCTTTGTTGATCTCAGTCCCGTCGACAGCTAATGCTGGTCTAATAGCACATGCCCATTTAGGCGGTAGAGGCGTCAAGTTTTAGAGTAGATAGCGAGAGAGCAAATGTAGTCGAGCTGTAGGCCCTAAAATTACAAGGCCAAAAAGAAGTCCCAACAGGCTTATTTTTGAGGGTTATTATATAGATACTGCTAGTCACCACGAAATCTCATGTAGGACGGTGCTGTCGTCGGTAAAAGACGCCCGCACCCACCAGACGAGCCAACTCACGCCAGTGGCCTAAGTGCTAACGGTCGATGTCATTTTCGTAGACACAGCAACGTACGGCGCAGTAGGACAGTACTGTGTTTTTGGAGTTATCGCTGTCCCTCTGTAACCAGGAGTGGGCCGTAAGCTATCGCTAAATGAGGTCAATCCCTGAAGCCCGGCAACAATTAGCCATTAATTGCCTCAAATCATCACTGACAACTGTGTCTATATCGTAAAATCGGCTCTCACATGCGGGTCTGATATTTCAGCGCTTGAATGTACTTCGGTGAAAAACGTGTGAACGTGCACTATGCCTAATAAGGGAAAAATCTGGTGCACTGAAAGGACGGGTGATGTGGCCCTATTCGGTCAGTAAGTGACAGCCGCAGCGAAGAGCTGTAACGTAAATCATGGCTTGTTTATATATCCGCAACTGGTTTCACTAAAGGATATTTGCTCTGTAAAATTGCATTATTCTAGCCTGGTTGTCTGTATGTGCGGCGGCCTGGGCCGGTATTCGTCCCGACGGCGATATGACGGTTTGCGTTACGCATCGAATATGTTGTGATGGTTACAGGGCGTACCAAGTACGAATTCTAGGTACAAATCTGCGCACATGACGATGTACAGTGGGCTATATATATATATATATATATATATATATATGTATACACATCCGCGTATGGGTTGAATTATTTGGTAATCTCTTGATGTTTTGTTTCTTCTTCTTCTATTTATTGAATTGCAATCTATAAATCCGAAGATTAAACAGCGCTATATTGTAGTACTGCGGGCGTTTCAGCAGTTCGAGAGGAACGCACTCCTTTGCAATTTTCTCTAGCTGCCAAGCTAGGCAAGACAGCCACAAATGTCAGATCGTCTCAGAAGCGCTTATACTATTTTATACGAGATCGTTGGTAATGGACGTTCGCGCCAATATCTAGTGGATGAATGCATGAGAACAGCTCACCGGAATCAATCTTGAAGCAACAGCATGTTCTAAATCGATTGAAAGTCGGCAGCGGTTGGCCATTTTTTTATCATTCTACATACAACCTTTAGCTCCTTCATCACCTGTATTATGTTCCTGCTGCGTTTCGCTCACTCGCCGGATCTGTTATGAAAAGACCTGTCTAAAAATTAGCAGCGGCATTACGATTGTCACGTGCGCGCAAACGGCCTGCTTACATGTGAGCTACCCCCACGTATGGCTGCAGGAACAGTAGCAGTGTGCTGCATCTTCAGATCGATTTCAGAACGCCACCAACGGTGGACTCGATGATTAAGCCGATCGAGCGATTCGTTTCATACATGAAAGTCACCGACAAGAGCAATCACTCCCTGTGGAGCGGGTACAGGGCCACTCATTGCAGCTGCGGTTCACGCAACTAACCACGATACAATTAGAAGCTAACTTTCGTACCCAATCCCTCCCTGGACTCAGATAAAGGGAATTCGGTTCGTATCTCCAACCAGCGAAGCAATGTTGCAGGCAGGCCTTTTCGTAATGCTGACTAATATGTTGTAGCCGACCAGTGGTGGCTAGCTACCTTAGCAACTACTGAAGACAGCTACTAGTTAGAAGAGCACTTCAATTGTCTGCTGGTCAGCTTTTAAATCGACGCTGTGCCGTTTTTGGCGAACTCACGCTGGCACTTGTATAGAACTAACAATCATCATGATAAAAGTACACGTATGAGTAATACTTTTCGGTGACGTAACGAAAAATTCGTTTTGCGCCACGGAGAGCGTTCGATAGTTTTCAGAGCGAAGTTGATAGCTTCGAAAGCATTCATAATGCTTTAGTGCCAGTACGGAAACACAGTGATAGTAAAGAACGATTGGCTGGTCAACGACGACGATGACAATGCCAAATGTCGTTTGGTGAAATACTTTGTTTTTTTAACCGCGACATAGAAAAAAAAAAAAAAAAAAAAAAGTATTTTATTCTTGTACTTGGGAGTCGGCAAACCTAAAAGATTAAGTGGGCATATTTCACGGGGCATTTTTCAGGATCAACTAACCATCTATGTCACTCACGTAATGAGATTTTACAATTTTTTTTTTATGTGCAAATTTTTTGAACTTGTCCAGCTCGCGCCAGACCATTGCCGTCTAGCTAGTGTACCTCTATCGTATTATCTGCATAACAATTTGATAATAGCACTTTTTGACCATATACGGTTCACGTTAACCATGTGATATTAGGTTAAAACTTGGAGAAATTTCACAAAAGTTGAACTGGAAGTTCTTCTTTACTTGAGCGATTAAGCTGATTGTGACACACCTTTTTGAATTTTGTTTAAGTTGGATTAGCCGAATGCTAGGCCGTCGATGTTTTCCTCAATGTATACTGATGTATTTTTGTACGTATATCTACTTACGGAACATGGGTGGGACGAAGCTAACCACTATGTCTGCCGAAAGCCTCTTATTAATGCGGTAATACCTCTAGTGATGTAATAAGAATTACTTGATAAAAGCATGTATAAAACGTATACATGCAATGAATACAAGGTAATAGCGGTTATTACATGTTCTGTAAAAATCGTTATGGAAATATGCAGAAAATTGAACGTTTCATCAAAAAGCGTATTTCAAGAGAATATATTTTAGGCAGAAAACATATTCGAATCGATGACGACTTCCGCTAAGAAATTTGCCCCAGCCATACAAGAAGCCCTCGTTTATGACGGCAAACTATAGTAACATTATGGTAGTACAAGAACCTATTCCTTATCAGGCGCTATGCATCTGCAACCAAACAGGGATCAGAAATCCTAGTCATTTGACCGGGTATGGACAAGCTGTGTAAAACAGGTTGTTTACAGGTCACGCTTTATTCGAATGTTTGATTCTTGCACCGGATAGGTAAAGCTTCGTTGTAAGGGTTCGGTTAGCCATGCAAACGATAGTCTGTATTCAGATGATGAGATCGTTTATCAAAAACGACGATCATCAAGTCTCTTCTGACCGATTTGAGCAGGTAGATATCAGCTGTAATAAAGTAGATTGACGAACGAAACACAGAAACGTCAGCATAACGACTTCTTTTTTATGGCGTTTCTTGTATGAACAAGAAGGCACAACAACAACAAAGAGACAGGGAGCAACTAATATTAGTCGAAACCGACAAATAGTGGTCATATGAAGTTTTGCCACGTCTAAAGCTTGTTGCTTTAAAAGACTCAGCCGTCACTCATGCGTCTTTATGCTATATTTATCTTTAGAAATTGATGTATATAGTTTGACTGTTGAATACGCAACTAGTTTCCACGAACATATCCATTTTCGAAGGTACATGTATGAAATCTCCACAAGACACGCGCTGAACGGAAGATTATTGAGATATTTCATCTGAATAGGAAAAGCCTTAAAGACATAAACAAATATTAAGGAATATCGTACGTGCCGTAACAACGACACTAACATGTTGGTTTACCAAAGTACATTTAGGATTACATTGTAATATTTCGCTTGCAACACCCCCCGCTCAGTAGTCAGGGGACGTTGGTACTTATTCTACACCGTGAAATGTCCTTAATTATGAATGATCCTAATTATAAAACAAAGCATGTACCTATTTGTGTATTTTCGAACGTATGGGTTAAAGGTAATGGTATCCAAATGAATCTGCTAGTTGTTACCTGGTTATTAGCCTTCACCTATTTGTGGTTAATCGTTTGCTTGAACCGATAGATACTACAATAGAGGACGGCCTTTTTACGGCTAATAGGCCAAGTTATATCTTCCACCTTGTCAAATATGTTATAGGAGAAGCTAGATAACGACAATACGGAGAAAAATTTGGCGAATTACCATTGAAAAAACAACTTGGGAATAAGATGTATTTCGATATGCAGAAAAGTAATAGATTTTGAGGTCCGCGTACCTGGACATAATTCTACCTTAGGTGGACAGACGGGTGCGTAAAATCGTCAGTGAAAGTAGGCATAGGAGCTCGAATACTTCTAAATCGACATTCGTCTACTAATAAAGGGCAAATACATATTTGAATGAACTGTAGTCGAAAGAGCCAGGGAAATCATTGCATTGTACATAACGACGAGCACTGAATGTTATTTCCGGGCAGGAAAGATACGAAAATAGTGGCAATTCATAAGGAGTCGATATAGGTATATACCGATATTTTGTTTATTAACATAAATGTTATTAATTTTAAGTACCCTTGTTAGTAGATGATATATATATATATATATATAGATGTCAGTTATGTCTGTCTCACTCTGTTTTTTCTCTTTTAAAAATTGCAGCGAGGCACAGATGAATTATTGACGGTGAACGGCGGTATCGGAACTGTGACCGACACCAATAATGACAATGCTAAAAAGGTACGTGAAAAAAAATGGCTTCATACTTATACATCGTCTACTCGTTATTTTTGTTATTGTTATCACTGTTAATGCCTAATACGTCAGTAGTCAGTCACTTTGCCGCTTGCAGACGATTTTATTCTAATTCGGCTTCCTAAGCAAGTCAGATTCCGTCGTACGTATTTTTGCTTCAATTAAATTTTTAGTGCATTTGTCGTATGTCCACTTGGTTTTGCGTTACACACTGGGGCTTCGTGGTTGCCGAAGGATCTGTCGAGGTGGGCAGAGTCTGTCAATGGGGGAAATTGATCTTGCACTGTCGACTGGGTTTTCTTTCGCAGAAACGAAAAACAGAAGCACAAATTACCTTGCTGCGCATTCACCTTCACACTATAGTGGAAGACCATACCGAGTTGAAGCTCCTATATCACTTAATTCCTGTTTTCTTAGGCACAAAGCAGACTTTCGCCTGCCAGCACCGAAGTCAAAAGCGTAAACAGTAGCGGCGCAAGCTAACCCACAAACTCAACTACAGAGGGGCAGGCAGCTAAAAAACGAGTTAGTCGAGCCAGCCGGCGAAAAAAAAAACGCCACGGTAACTTTTCCGTCAAAAACAAGAAGATTTTTTGGATTACATAGCTTTGTATATATGAGCGTATTCATTTGTAGTTAATTATTCGTCTATCACCGGAAGTGAATGTTAGTGCCTTAGTAAAGCATAGAAGCAGGGGTCTCCTCGGGCCCTACAAGTTAGTGTAACGCCAGCATCCAACACGTAGAAATACATAATAGGAGAAGATGAGATAGACATGAATAGATAAATTGCGGATCGTCGACGACGTACACTCAACTATATGTGTGACCTTTCCTATGATGTACACTAGAATAGAAGTTGTGTTTGTCCCAGCAGCGTTTTCTTGCCCGGCTGCTGCTACACTTGTTGATGTTGTTGGCGAAAGCAATTTGTAGCTTTGGAAACAAGTTTTCCTGCGACGAAGAGCCTTTTTCCGGTCAGGGTCAATCGTCCCGAGGCCTGTCCTTGGTTGCGAAATAAAGTTGACATTGTTTCAACTGAAAACTAAGAAGGAAGGGAAGTAACGCATAGCAAACAGCAGTCGCCACTAGGTTCTGTCCCGCGGTCTGCTGCTACCACTGTTTTCTTGCCTGCATATAGACGTAGCACCGACAGTTCAACAACGTGTGTATAAGCCTATTTCGTTCTTGTTCGGTCCTTTTTCCAATTCTATAGGGTGAAGAATTCCCTCCGCCTTTGCCACTGGGTCGGTCGGTCAGTCAGCAGCTGGCAATGTCCCATAGCTTAGGCTGACGATAGACGCCGTAAGATCCGTCTAAAAGACATTGGCTTTACTAGTTCCGCTTACTGCTATAGCCGAAGCGCGTTCCCGTAGCCTTGAAGCTCGCCCGATGCCGAAGCTGCCTCGACTACGCTGGTGTTTGGAAGTCAAGTGGAAAGTTTCTCTTTTCGTCACGACGACCACTTTTGTTGTTGTTTTAGTATTACCTTTTCTCTTTCGTTTTCCTAAAGAGCAAACTATTTCACACTAAGTCTTTAGTGCCTCTTTGCAGCAGCGAGATACATAGAAAAAAACTCGGGACGAACAGCTCGTGCTGCTGTTGATAGTATGGAGATAGGAAAAACAGCCAGCTCGCAAAGAGGTCCTACTAAAGCGGCCTGCTGCAGGGCTTAAGTTGTAGCATTAGTCTAGAGTGCAGGATAGGGTAAATCATGACGGCTAATCTGAAAACACTGGAGAAGCAAAAAAACAGATCCACCGAATGAGCAAGCGACTGGGGTCTAAAACATCGAACGGCCGGCTCCAAAGCGAAGACGATAATGACCGCTGTCGCCGACGGCCAAACCGCGCAGAGAAAAAGATATAAAAAACGAATTGCAGCAACGAGATAGGAATTGAAGAGAGGACACAACTTTGGTTCGTAGTCGCTAATGGTGGCAACCTCGTCGCTGCTGTACCCAGATGTCTTTCGTTTCATGGATTGTGATGCCCGATACTGAAGTAATAGGAAAAGCCAGCGAATGAAGAAGCAAGGAGCAACAAAACACAAACGAAGGAAAGCTAGCACAAGCCTGTTCAATGCAGGGCGAGCGAAAACTGTGCGTCGTTCCTGTTGCATCGTATTGCTTTGGTTTTTTGATATACCTAACATTTTAGGGCTACTATACAAAGGTAAACCTTCAAGTCTCACGGTACTTCTGTTTGTTGTAGGAGGAATAATATATTCGCGTGCTGTCACTATAAACTTTTATTTACCTTTACTACTCAAATTGCGTACTCGTTGCGCACTGTAAGGGTTATAAAGCTTATAGGATCAAGCTTACTTGCAGCGAGCTAGTTTCCGTAACTCGGCCGAGGAAATATTCGTTAGAAAATTGTAAGCTCGGGAACGCCGGGTTCGCCAAAGGTGACGACAAGCAAAAGAGCCGGTCCAAGCAGATAAAAATATGAAAAACAAATGAAAGATATAGCTGAGTTGTAGCGTCGGCATGCTAGGGGCTGCTGAATTTCGGATTGACTTTCTCTCGCAGGGCAGAGGTTCGGTTGTCATTTAGGTCCTGGGACAGGGTCGGAGAACCCAAGTAGAATAGTGGAACAGTAGAAGTGACTGGGGCGGTAACGTGTACATCGCAACCCTCAATGTTGCCTTTGCCACCGTTGTTAGTGGCGGCTGACACAGTGACTCGAATAAAAACCAGACAAGGCTGGGCTGAGCTGAGCTGCGCAGGTTGGTTGAGGTGGTCGCACCTCTAAGTAGAGAAGCTTATGCTGTTTTTTTTTCAGTTTCCGCTTCGTATCAGCTTTGTCATTCGACCAATCGTTAGCTGCCGGTATACACGGTCTTTTGCCCCTGTATGATGTGAAAGTGTTTCGGCAGTGGGTTCGCATGACTGAAAGATTGGAGGTGAGTGTTCCGCTTGCTCTCGGCGAATGTACTTTATCTTTGGCGAATATATACGTTTGTACGCCTTGAGTCAATGTTGACAGACGAAAATAGTACATATTCTTGACGCTGCGACTGCTTATGCTACTGTCGGAAAATTCGAGGTGGCGAGACGATACTACGCTTATAATATTCGTCGTCTAAGTTCTTCTCATATCGAGCCACTTGCTGTTCCTTTCTCAAATCAATTTTTCTCGCATTTCTACATCAAAATTGTTGTCGTCGCCTGCATCCCACGTAGACAATTAATTCGCCGTTCCATATCATAGACGTGCATTGCAATTTGTTTCCCTTACCAGTACAAAGTCATTGTTTTTTTTCTTGGCTATCTGCTTGCGTTTGTTACGCCCTGTGTTCTATCGAGTTGAATTGATTGTACGTTGATTATTAATGCCATAGATGGTAGGCCAAATGGAACCTCGTCATACTATGCGTCCGGAGCGTAATTACCTCTTGCCACAGGACACTATAAGTACTTTTTTTCCCTCTATATACAAGAAAGCGCAGCGCATCTCATTTTTTCAATATGCCATACGCCAGATGCGATGTGGCTGCATAAATACCTTTAGCAGCATTTGTGCACAACTGACGAGCGACGCAGCGCTCAACACGACGCAGAGCCAGTTTGCCAGTTTTTGCTCTTGTCGCTGGTGTCGTTGATGATGACGCTGCTACGGCCCCCGGCGCCATCTAGTTGTTTATGTACTACGTAGTGGTGCTTCTTTTGCGCACCCTAAGAATGGAAGATGGAAAGAGGGCTTCGTTCTGCTTTGTGTACAAACAAATGACCAGACAGCCCAGTACGTGCAGAAGGCGTTCGGAAGCAGCCGCTGAAACAAAAAAGTCGGTACTCACCAGTAAGTACCACAAGCGCAATAAATGGTACTTCTGCTCGTGGATGGCACAGCGGCGGAGGCGGCAGCATCAATGATTGTGCTGGGTCCAAGTTCGTGGATGACTGAGGGTTATTTGTAAGTTTAAAAGGATGTTTCAATGGGAGCATTAGTGGGTGCTCCCATTGAGTTTTCAGAAGATGACGCGGACAAGTTCAGGTATCTCGATCGATCTTTCGGTTGGGACATAGGTGTCGGGTGAGAATGTTGGTTGGGTTTATATCGGTTGTTCATGTGGCTAATCAAACACAACATAAACCATAGCACGACTTATGTGATCTGGTAAGGGACGATAGTAGGCCATCGTTATTTTTAAGTGAATATTTATATTATATGAAATCAGCTTGTGGCGTGTGATAGGGTATCGAACGGGCATTGTCATACCCGAAGTCGGACAGTGGCACAGCCAATCGCTTCCTTCGAGTTTGATATACAAGTGGATAAAAGTGCCGAAGATCTTCTAATCTACGTAGGGAGCCAACACAATTCGCTTATGACATCAGACTACGACAACGTTTGACTAAACGAGCTTGCAGAATTCAAGGAAGAATCGTCTTGCGTAAATCTGCTGATATTTTGCATCCGACAGAGGAACGGATATCCGAAATATAATTTGTAGCTTTCATTCCAATACAATACATTTTCATAACCCTTGTCTAGAAATTTGACGACTGAATAATTCCAGTCGGTAAGCTCGGCCCCATTCAATACGATTTCTACATTCAATATATCCTTGTTCGAATCGACGTGCAGAGCATAATTATTATTACATTTCTTTTCGTTTACTGATTTTTTACGATTTTGCTTTTTTTTTCAAAGTTATGACAATAATTGATAACGAGCGTTTGTACTTCGTCCTCTTTTTAGCTCCTTGATTGTTCGCTTTGATATGGCAACGTTCTCTGACCTGTTCATATCTCTGTCGTTCATTGCAGATTCGAATGGAGAAGGCCGCAGCGCAGAATAACAACAACAACAATCTCGTCACAGCCAATAATAACAATACGACCACAGCTAATAACAACACGAACACCACTAATGCTTCCGTTAATAACACATCGAGTACAAATCTCAACAATAATAACAACGGTAGCGGCGTCCAGGCCACATCGCCTGCGCAGACCACGGCCGGAGCCGGATCTCCAGCCACCTCGCCGCCGCACGCGTCAAGAGTGGTGCACCTCCGTAATGTACCAAACGATGCCACAGACACGGAGATCCTCCAGCTTGGAATTCCTTTCGGCAAAATCACGAACATTCTTCAGCTGAGGTTACTAATATTAGGGTACTACATTAGAGACTAGTGACGGTGCAGTAATAACGTGTTATTAGTTAGTACGGACACGTGAGGTGGGGCTTAGGTTCAAATCCGGGACAGCCCAGTTTTTTTGCTTTACGAAACCTGAAGCAACAGTGCTTAACGGCGCCAACACCGGATTTAAAGTTCAAAAAAATATATTATTACTACACTTAGGGTTGTGCAGTGTGATGTTTATTATTTTTGTTAGTCGTTGCTATTATTGCAAGTAGTAATTATGGTAAATGTAAATTGTAAGAGTACGAAGGAGCTACCTAAAGAATTGAATAGAACTTGTATGTGATTAATTATAGGAGATTGTTTTGCTGGACAGTTTCATTCCTCTGATCTACTTTAGAGTTCGTTTCAAATCATAAACCATGCCATAAGCATAGAAGATGAATGTACTATCATCCCAATATATTGTTATGTTTTAATTTCTTATTCTAAAGTATGAGCTTCGCTGCTTTTTGTTCTGCGTTATTGTTTCAACAGGGGCAAAAATCAGGCGTTCCTCGAAATGGAATCCGAGGCTTCGGCAGCTCAAATGGTTGAGTACTTTGGCAAGACTTCATCTCAACTTCGTGGACGCACGATCTATGCGCAGCACTCGAACCACCGCGAGCTGAAGGTGAATGACAATAGCGTAGGGAACTCAATGTTATTGAACTCAACTCAGGTGGCGCTGGCAGCTGCACAAGCGCTCATGGGACTCCAACAACAGCACGGTCTTTCACCGCGCACAAATGGAGATATCGCCGGAGATCTCAGTCCGACGCATAATGCCGTCGGAACCGGAAATACCGTCTTGAGGGCAATGATTGAAAACCAAGTCTACCCCGTTTCACTGGAACTTCTTCATAATGTAAGGACAAAAAAAAAAAATGGAGAATGAATTGCCGTAATGATAGTAGCAGACTTTTCTCCTCGTCATGGTGCACTGGTAACGGTTTACCTATTAAAACTAGTGACCCTTGAGATGGTTTGCAGACTTACATTTTGTTTCGCGCTGGACCGAGTCGGCTGTCTGAACGGATGCTTAGCTAAACACGTGTAACAACTTGAAACCTGGCTAATTCAGACCTGAAACTAAGTCTATGTATGATAACTATTAATGACTTAATATTAAGCACTGTTAGTGAAATATGTAAAGGCCGCAATACTTGCAGGGTCCTTGTTAACATGCTTGGCAGGACTCTTATCATCGTGAATGTTATGGTATCGTAGGATAATACATCGGCAACAACATGACTTTGTTGCATAGCACCTACCGTATCCATAACAAATTGGTCTTTTTCTAGATGCCGTAGTATTCTCGTTGTAGGCATAACAGTACTGAAACGCGATATATACTTGAAGTTAATAATTAAATTGTTACTGTAGCCGTCATGAAAGCCGTTATGGAAAGAAAGACTAGTCCAAGCTTTCGGGTGGTCCAAAGATGGGGCCCCTAAGGTCAGTAGCGGCCAGGATAGGGTGAGTCTCTTTGAGACTGAATCGGTGTCCGTACGTGCTTTGCGTGCATTGGCCGTTGTGCTTTCATCGATGCTTTGGCTTAGCAACAAACGACATAAGAGAAGGCGGATCCAGGCCGCTGGAAAGTACGTTACTGTAGGAACTGCAGTGGATAACAGCGTAGTCGCGGCTGGAACGTAAAATCAAAGCAGCATAGTCGAAGTCCAAGTGGCAGCTGGCTGTCGGGTGCTGAACGCCTGGCTGGCTGAGTGGGTCTTAGTACAGCGAAAAAGAACCGACCACTGACAAGGCTAAGAGCTGATCCAATAGTAGCCAAGTAAGCATAGGGAAGTAGGGCAACTGAAGCCCCATCGCAGCCCTGAGTTAACCTAAGCCCCTTATGGCCAGCACCTTCCGTCTGCGGGCTGCCCCCTCATATTGTTCTCACGTTAGCACAGTTTGCTCGCCTGCTCGCCGGCACTGGATGCTGTGGTGACCTCCCCCCATTTGGTTACATGACGACTCAACCTGTCGTTCGACCACCATCAAGAACTGAATCGTGATGCAGATTTGTATTCGGTTTGGCTTCTTTTGTACTGGACCCTGCCATTATCCTTGGCCCACACCAAGCTCCAATTTGCCATTCAACACTGCCACTGCCACCTTCACTACAGTTGAGGCGTGGACGTCAAGCTAGGACATCTAAGTTGGAACAAATTCAAAGTCAGACTACGGGCCACAAGCCGTTTGCACACTGCGCAATGCGACGTACTTTAGCTCGATCTGGGGGTGGTAAGAGAGAGGTTCTACTCGTATATCCATTCTGTTTCATGCCTGCTGTTTGACCCTTCTATATTCCACTGAATTAACCGCACGTTTCTTCCGTTTTGTTCGATTTCAGATTTTCAGCCGTATAGGAAAGGTGCTCAAAATTGTGACCTTCAACAAAAACAGTGAGTAATAGATCAAAGACTTTCAGCAGCGAATTGAATTGAACTACTTTTACTGGCCTTTTTAACTCCATGTTTGTAACATAGTGATTCATTAGTATCGAGGTTAGGGAACAATGTACAGGAACGCTGGGGTTCACCTTGCAGGCTTGCCGTAGCCAAATCGATTAGTTCATCAAACTCGAATTATGCCACAGTTGCTATTGGTCAACTGAAATGCAGTTGTAGATGTTTGCGTGACTGTATATATAGCCAAAATCTTCGGCAAAGTTAAAAAAACAAGCCATTCGCAGACGCGTAATATTAAGAAGACGTCATTACGACCCTTCGCGATGACCCACCCTGATTTCTATCAAGTTTAACACAACCACGCCAATGTCTTAGTGCTGTAAAACGATAATGTTGTCTGATTCCCCTATAAGACTTCCATATGAACAAATCAAGCCAACCCGGCTTCACGTCCGGCTTTGCACTCGCTACTGCAGTCGCACGTCTCTATAGTAAAGAGTATCGGAATAATCTATTCCGCAATTGGGAAAGCCGAAGCCGGAGTCGTATATCTGCATAGCGAACTCCCTGGCGTCAACCGACGCACAATCGCTCGACAGAGAGAGTATTGCGAGCCCTGTAAAGAGTACAAGTGCGGCCGCGCCCCCCAGCAACGCTTACGATTGGTCCTGCGCTTTCTACTGTCGCTATTGCTGTTGTTATCACCAAAGCCGCTCCAGGTCTATCGTTGTGACCGACATTATATTAGGAGAAACCGGTGGAGGAAAAACAAGAAGCCTCTACTTTTCTAGTAATATTACCTTGGCTCCCTTTCAATGTTCAGCCCCGAATAACAGCCACAGTTTTGCTGGCGTTCGCCGGCAAGAGGCGTGCCGAGACTCAATTCCCCCCTATTGCTCACCTCGATCGTCTGTACTAGTTTTTTTTTTTCTAGTACGTGCGGCAGATGGTACTCTACTCATATGATATCGCGGCGCACAAGTTAAAGAAGCGAACAGACAAACTGGTCTATAAACTAATCGTCCGTTAGGCTTTTTTACCCGTAAGCAGCGAATCTTAAAACAGCTTCAGGCTTCGACAATGATCAAGTAGTTGACATCTGCCAACTCACTTGCATGCAGAGCCTGCTGCATTACAATGAAAGCTAATTAAAGCGGTTAGATCTGGGAGTTTTTGCGTCGGCAAACGACGACGACGATGCAGGAAAAGAAGGCAATTTTACGGGCGAAGAGGGGCAATGGTGGACAGTAGCACGTAGCAAAACAAATACATAGCTTGGCAATGCTATAAGCCCGCTGCCCCAAAGAAAGGCCATCGACTTAATTGATGCGGAGCCAGTGGTCGCTACAGTGAGTTCTGTTAGGACACGGGCTTCAGCTAGTGGGTCCGCCTGAGGTACAGGTTGATGGATCGAAGGAACTGTGGTGTGAAAATTCAAGGAAGTGCTCCAAACGAATAGCATCGATTGCTGCTGCTCTAGCCGCCAGGCAGCTTCCTCTTGTAGCAGTAACCATTACCGCAGCAGCTTTCACTTAGCTGGAACCGTTTAGTTCCTTTTTTATTCGAAACCATCAGAAGAAGCAGGTGCAACTAGACAAAAAGATGTGAGAGGTGAGCAAAGCTTCAATATGCCAAATGCTCCGTGCATTTATCCGAGACTGCGTTGATACAAGTTTATGGCAACGTCGCAGCCAGTGTCGTTTATGGAACGTGCGACGCATGTGGAAAATAATTGTTCAATAGACCCATTGGCCTGGCTTTAACTTATTTGTAAAAAAAAAAAGCAATAACGCATACAGTTTTAACAATTCTGAGGATAGTGCTAGTCCCTGAAGCATTGCGGCTATAATATATACCATAGCTGCAATATTTTGCAGAAAACATAAGGTGGTGCTGGTTAAGCTATTTATTGATTGCCTTATTTACAGTGAATAATAATAAAAGTTTATAATTTGTTCGGACGATATAATAGAGCTAAATTTGTAATACATAGCTTTCATGTAGACTATAATATGTTGTACCTATATCAAAGACTGTGATTATTCAATGCCTGTTCAAGAAATTTATTATTTACAATGCTACTTTTCAATACCGAAAGAGACTTCTAATAAATAAAGGATTCTCACTGCTATAGTCGCTAATTGTTTTTTCAAGTTACTTTTCAAGCTATTGGTTTAACTAATTAGTTGATATTTTTTTCCTGTCCTTTTTTATAGACACGTTCCAGGCGCTAGTTCAGTTCTCGGACGCGATGGCCGCCCAGGCCGCTAAAATGACTTTGGACGGCCAGCACATCTATAATGGATGCTGTACTCTGCGTATTGAGTACTCGAAGCTACAACAGCTAAACGTAAAATATAACAACGACAAAAGCCGCGATTTCACCAACCCGTCACTACCTACAGGGGATCCTGCATTGGACACGCTGGGCTTAGCCAACCCGCTTGGCATGTTACACTCGCCATTCGCAGGCCTTAGTTCGCACCTTTCGGCAGCGTTCGGTACACAGGGTCTTCAGGGCCTACCAAACATGCAGAGTCTACCCGGACTGGGTTCGTTCGCACTTAATCCGGCCGCTCAGGCCCTTGGAGTTGCCGGTCTCAGGCTGCCTGGCAATCCGCAGTCGTGTGTGCTGCTTGTTTCGAACCTCAATGAACAGGTAATTTTCAATAATTAGAAATGAGCTAATCGAACAGGATTTCCAGCAATTAGATGCAGTGTTTGGGAGATAGTGTCGTCTTCAGAAACTGCATTAGACGTCCGTCTGCTTTATACAATCGAAATCCCTTACAAAAATAGATAGATCGGCTTCATACGTTGAGTTTACCAAGCTGTGCTTAGCAGGTGCTTATAACAACACAACCTATTACCTAAAATTAGTAAGACGGTAATGCTTTAGGAATATTATCTTCTTTTCGTTAATGGCCTTCTTTGTGCCGAGCATCCTTATTAGGTGACCCGAAAACAAAATTACTTGTTATTTCTCCCTGCGCCCCCAGAAATAGCTCATTGATACTCTTATACATCGTATTATATGTAATCCACTTACTCGCTCGTGCTTCTATTTTATGGTTTCTGTTTAACATTGACTTCCGCTGATCTTTTTACACGTACTTTTGCAAAATACTAGCGGATCTATAGGTGCGCGGACCTGCTCTGCTTTTTTTTTGTCGTTCTGAGCCCGCTTTAGTGACAAATACTTTCTGCCAGTTGTTGTTCTTCTATCATACCCCTCTCGACGAACCGCTCTCTGTGCCCCCTCTTTTTTCTAGCTATACCCTGTACTAAGTATTTATCTTCTGTCATATATATATATATATATATATATATATATATATATATATATATACACACACATATAATGTATATATATACATAATGTATATATATGGTGATCTCTACCCGTTCCCGTATTTCGCTCGATCACTTCTTAGAAGAAAAATTCTTTCTATGATGGCTGTCCTTCTATCCTCAGTTCTAACAACCCATTTCCTCTAAATTTGATCACATAAGTTGTCGTCATTCAACTACCACTGTGATAAATTACTGATCGATTGGTAAATCTTGTTCTCATTAGGCCTAACCGTGGTGTTAAGGTAGGCATGACGGGCAGGCTTTTCGTGCGTTGGTATAGATTACGCCATTGACAACACGATTTTCATTTCACCAGCGCAAGATATCTGGATAGGTTGTATTTATATAGCGAAATAATCTCCATATTATTATTATTCGTCGATAATATATCTATTACGTGTCGTTATCGCTTTCCTATTAAATTTTTTTCAATTGTTTCATCTGGCCGAACGAACTTCAATCTGAAGTTACAGTGAATACGATTAGTACATTGATTTTTATATCATGATCAGTCAAATTGTCTACTTCCAGTCAATCAAAGGCTGTTCTAGTTGTTAATTAGTGAAGAGGATGGCAAATAAGGATTTTACAAAATACACTTATAATCAATCTATTGGGCTGCTACAAGCAAATCCGGCGGACTTTGAAATTGAATAACTTTTAGTACCACTAGCAGACAAAATTTAGTTGCTAAATGTTCTCATTCTCCGAAAATTTGTAAATAAGAACCAATTGAGTTTACTCAAGGAGAAATAAGTTTAGAAGGGAAAAGTATTTTAGCTTAGAATATCAGCGCTCAGTTGTCAACTCTTTGTGCCTCGAAGGCCGGTGCATTGCAACTCGCTTTGACCGAAAGCACAATAGTAGTAAATAATAGTACAATAGTTGCAAGAACGAAGATTGGAGTGTTGAAAACCAACGAGGAAGTGACCGGATGTTGGAATCCGAAGGACAAAGACGCGCTATCGCAGTCGACGAGGCTTTTCCCTGGCCTGGAACCTAAGAGCTACGTTTACCAAAACTGGCATTTCACGTGTAACGCGTTACGGAATTATAACCTAAATAGTGAAAATGCGTAAGACGTGAATTGATTCGAGGTTAATTGGGGGTGCCTATGATGTATCCTACGTGCAATTTGGGAAACTTTAATCAATAAAAAATCTTCCTGGAGCATATGGCCGCCACAGGCTAGGCATGATGCAACCTCATCCACCAGCCGGAGAGTGACCAGGCAAGAGAACGGCGTCGCCTTGTAGAGACATCAAGTTTAATGCTAGTATCGAGTAGATTTGTATGTGTGATGATAACCGCACTTGTAACGGACCTCAGTGCTATAAGCTACTATGATATATTCGCGAAAATAAAACAATCAATGCAGCTTGCTATCTCGAGTCTGTCGAGGGATTTGTGGGTCCTAAAGGACGGAGTTTGATTGTTCGAAGACAACGTTAGACCTTATCGCCACAGATGAGTTACTTTGTGGATTGACCAACGTCGGATTCAACCTACTTATTCTCTTCATTTAATCTATGAAAAAGCTTTTCATGCCCTAAAATGGCAGCTGGTGGGCCAGCATTCCTGCTATCGATTTTACTTCTAAACTAAAAAAAAAAATCGGTTAGAGAAAATGTATATGCGGGCGCGAATGGTAGGTATATGGCTGTCCCAACGTCGCTAGAGCGCAGAATCAAGTGTGTAATGGAAAGTACTTCCAACATGTACTAGAAAATCGTGAGTAAACTCCAATTTGTTGGATTCGCTTGTAGAAGTCTAATATCTAATTAAAATGATGTTTCATTCCCATTCAGATATACAACAAATGAATGAATCAGTCAGTCACTACCTTATCTGACGATTATTCATTCCTCTTTTCTTCTTTATAATTATAATTGCTGCTATTCCCGCCATTATTACTGTTCTCTATGACATGTACTGTTCCGCTATTCACTATCGTTAAAATGCAAAAAAATGGCATTTATTCGTAATCATGAAAACAACGATCGATCAATCGGTCACTTGTTCGTCAGTTAGTTCGTAATTTAGCCGTTCACTTAAACGTTCCCTGATCTCCTGTTACTCCTGTCGTTCCTGCTGCTGCTGCTGAATCCTTTTCTGGTGTGTGTGTGTGTGTGGTGTCTTGCCCACCCAACCAACATTCGACTCATACGGTTCGAACTCGACATCTTCGCGCCATCTGCCTGCTGCAGACCGTCACTCCAGACGCCCTCTTTACGCTTTTCGGTACGTTTTTTCGGTCGATTTTTATTTGTATTGTTTTTTTTTAATCCTCATTTTGCCATCACATCTGTCATATCTCTCGTCTCCCGATCGATCTGGTAGTTTGGTTTAATGACACAAAGACACATACAGACAGAAGGAATGATCCGGATCAGGTGAGGGGCGAAGGTTTATATACATACATATCTCAAGCCAATCATTCAATGATCTGGCCTACCTCCGTGGGACTTTTCGGAGTCATCTGATAATGGCTCGTCTGCTTCATTTGACTGTACTTCATACGTTATCGACCATAGGGAGGAGTACGCATAAAATCTAGTCATAAAAAGAAACGCCCACCCACACAAAGCCATGACTAGTAGCAATAAAAGCTTGAATCTATTATTTGGTTTAACTGAACTACATTCTGTATTCTCGCATCTATGCATGATCGTAAGAACACACAACTAATTTTGTTACCCCTGGGCTTATTCTTAGCCATCTGCTTATTTTCATTTCATGACACATCTGTGACTACCTAACATCCATCATAGTAAACTTGTAGCAGGCCATAGCATAGTTATTAAACATGTATGTCATAATATTTAGTGTTGGTTGTCCGCCAAGAAAGTGTTTAGATTATACTATTGCTACTACCACTTTCTTTCTTAGTGGGTTCTATTGTATTCTGTATATTGTTGTACTGTTGAATTTCTCGATATTCACCGATAACAGTCCTACGCTCCTTATCCGAGACTCCGTTTTCCTACTTTTTATTACTAAGTATTTTAACTAACATAAAAATCTATTTGACATCCGCTTCATCGTTGTAATTTCCACATCTCTGGTCAAATGTAATGATAAGCCATCTAAGTTTTATATCTAATCGGTGGACCAGAGAAAGTGGAACTTTTTATTAGTCAATTTAGGCTTTCAAAACCGCTACTATTTTCCCGTTTACCTGTTTCTTTTTTATTTAAATTTTATCGTTCGATCAAACTAGAGCCCTTAACGTGACATAATTAAGAGATGGCTCTCAGCCCTGTGGCTACGGGCCTCCCATTCGGATATCAGACCCGTCAAAGACGCATGTTCCTACTGATCCCTCTCCAGCTTTATGGTCTTCGCAATAACATTGTAATTGTAATAAATGCCGCCTTCTATACGTGACCTTAGGAGTGTACGGGGACGTGATCCGCGTAAAAATTCTGTTCAACAAGAAGGACAGCGCACTTATCCAGATGGCTGAGCCGCAGCAGGCACAACTAGCCATGACGCACCTGGATAAGATTAAGCTGTTCGGCAAGCAGTTACGCGTTACACCTTCAAAGCACCATATGGTGCAACTGCCCAAGGAAGGACAGCCCGATGCCGGCCTCACCAAGGATTACATCAGTAGCTCACTGCATCGTTTCAAGAAGCCAGGTTCGAAAAACTATCAGAACATCTACCCACCTTCAGCTACACTTCATCTCTCCAATATTCCGTACGTATAATAAAGCCGACGGGTCTAGGCTTTTAAATAATTTAGTTATCTATATATATATATATAATATATATATATATATATATATATATATATATATATATAAAGGTTATCTATATGCATACATATGCACACGTTTTCTAGGAACTGTTTACGACAATTTACGTACAATTTACTCAGTAATGGATGTGAATGTATAGATACATTGAGCTTTTTTAAACAGGAAATATAACCTATTGCTAGAATTAGTCATCTATACCAAATCAGCATCTGTTGCTGACGGCATCAATTTCAAAACCGTAAAATGTCACAAAATAGTATATCCACAGTTACATATGTATATACACATTTATTAACCTGTTCTATATGTTGTTTCTCTTTCTTTTGATGTGTATAATAATGTTTCGCAGGCCTACGTGCAGTGAGGAACAGATTCGGGAGTCGTTCACGAGCTTAGGCTGTGGCAACATCGTCGCCTTTAAATTCTTCCCGAAGGACCGCAAGATGGCGCTTCTTCAACTACCCTCAATTGAGGAGGCGGTTATCGCTCTGATCAAAATGCACAACTTCCAGCTGTCGGACTCATCGCATTTGCGCGTCTCATTTTCAAAGTCCACCATCTAAAAGCATCAATTATTACTACCACCAACCAACGTAATCCATCAATCAACAGATCAACCAATATCAAAGACAACAACAACAACAGCAACTTGTTACCGATCAGCCACGACCGCAAAGTTCAGCCCAGTCCATTTAGCTAAATCTAATATACGAGATACAACGTTAGACGGAAAAATCGTTGCCCAATTAGGCAGGCCCATTTCAGGTTACCTATGGACCGCGCTAGTGTTCATGAAACACAATGGCAGCGACAACGGACACGCTGGCATGATTCAGCGTTGCCCTGCATGAAGCCAAACTGTTTATATGCGTCAGCCTACGCCAGCCAGGACACGGTAGGGGCGAATTGTTCCAGCGGTCCGAAACCATGCAACCCACCAGCGTAGCCCACCCCTTACGTCGCCAGTGATGAAGCCCTTCATGTCCCAACTAGCTTTCATGCGAAACATAAAAGATATACCTTGACGCGCGCTCTTACATAGCAACGGCCACAAGGGACCAAACAAGCAACATTCGTTGGCTAGTCGGGCGTTAAAAGGACATGAGGCCTTCTCATTATATATATATATAATGTTATGACTTCTCATGGACCGGACCATATCGTCAAGTTACTGTGGGCTAAGAAAGTCTGATCAGAGGCCGCATGTTCACGACGTTAGGTGTAGACTAATCAGGTCAGAACACTGTTTTAATGCTAAGCGCTGCGTACGCACGGAAAAACCATTGGTGCCATGCTAACGTGAAGAAGTTGTGACCATGCCAGTTGTGGCTGTAATTGAAAAAAAGACGGAAATGCGACAATATATAGATGTGCCTACTTCGAGTAAAAGCAATCGATTGGATAGGCTGACGAAAAATGAAACAGCAGCAGATGTTAAGAACCAGCGGACTTGTAGCAGACGGCCGATACGTTCACGCGAATTTAATTTGAATAGTGTGTAATTATGATTATTGCTATCGCTAATATTATAGTTTGCTTTTTAGACAGCTGTATAGTGGACGAACAAAGGGAGTATTCCATCTAGGGGCTATGACCACAGGTCGATAGAGAATGCTTACGAAGCAAGGGCGTTGTAAAGTTGCAGAAGATACGCAGCTGAGTGACATTTACGGCGCAATGATACCTAAATGCCAAAATATCAAAATTTCATTCGTAGTGTACAAACAGAAACAGAAATAATTTCTGAACTGTGGACGCTGTTAATGAATTTCTATAGCAGCATGATGAGACAGTGTCCTCTTCGATCCGCAAATGGATTTTGTCCAACTGCTCACTCGTAGCGATCCGCTTCGTATTATCCGCACACTACGATCGTATGTATAGCAACGCGTACTGTGAAATCTGTATTGATTGCGTCTCTGTCCAATGCAGCATGCACTTATTGTTATTACTCTTATTAAAACTATATCATCTTCATTAAGGTAAAAGAAAAATTTTCCTATTATGTTTCTTTTGTGAATCGTCGTCTTTTTTGTGCTCATGATTTCGATTGAACAAGCAACTATTGTGTTTTTGTTGTCGTTATGGATAATCAACAAGTCCACCCATTCACTTCATTTATTTTGCGCTTCCGCTTCTTTCACAACATCTATATATATATATATATATATATATATATATATATATATATATATATATATATACATATACAAATGAAATATATTATTACGCATTTACTTCTATATACATATGATTTGATTGGTGTGAAAAGAGAGACTGTCATATGGCGATCGATGTCAGGACATCTCTCGTTTCGCCGTCCAGAAGTCTGATGTCTGATCGAGCAGCATCCCTCACATCCCCTGCTATTCGATCACTCGCCGCGTCACCTCGTTCTGGGGTAGTGTTTCTGTATTTCGCCTACTTTTCTGGTTCTTTTCAGAGCAACAGTATTCGCTCGAATGGCGTATAGCGTAATAAGACCGCGTTGTATATGATATACGGCGGCAAGCAAGAAAATCAATAATAATAATAATAGGGGCAGTAGGAAAACTGCGAGACATGAAAAAACGAGCGTGCAAAATGCAAAGTAATGCATTCACATTTAAAATGTTGTCTATATATATAACGTTTCTTCGTACATGCTAATACAAGCAGTAACGTGGGGACAGTAACAACTTACAACCGAGACACTGAAACAGACAAACGTAAAAAAGTAAGATTAACTAAACCATATTGTTATTAATAAATCTCCGGAGCGAGCCAATATCGTCTTGCCGCCGCTAACAGGAGAGTCCGCATAATCAATAACAACCAAAGCAGATACTTGAATGGAGACATTAACGGCTCGCTCGGGTGAAAGACAAGGAAGATGAGCTACTGATTTTGTGGTGTTTTACTCGGAATATTCTTCGCTGCAGCTACTACAACGAGAATCATTACGTCGTAGTCCAATGGTTACGATATCCAGTTCAGCCAAATGTTGGGTGCTATACGAATGAAACCGTTAATCTGCCCATCTGTCGAGTGGGTCGTTTCACGAAGAATGGGTTTCTAAGACTAGAAGTACTTTTTGCCAGTTTCTCAAAGTCGCACTTCTTCAAACTTTTGCTCGCTGCCCATAATCATGGACAAGCTTTTGTTCTCGCATAGCTCGTTATGTAATGATTGATATCATGGTTATTTATGTGCTTGTTTTATTTCCACTGGCTCGTAAATTGTTACACTAACTTCTTGCGGGAAGGGACTGCAAACGTTCTATCAGAATGCTATTTTTCAGACTCGTTTATTGATTTTCGTCAGATAGCATTCTTGTCTATGAAGAAACTGTTCAGAGCAGGTGACAGGTAAAACGTTTAGGTTGCAAAATTGCAATTGACACATTACGAATGAAGGGTTCTTGATCAGGTACGCTAGTGTGCTGTTCCTGAAATAGTGACCTGGCTAGAATACATGTCAGCTTGGCTTCCTAACTTGAAGTTCTCTTTTTATTCTAAAATGTTTGACTACGTTATTGCGCTGTTGCGTCTCTAGCCAATCTGAATAGAATCTTTGGTCAACGGCCTCTCGTGTCCCCGAACATTTCATTGATCTTTTCTCACTGGATTAATTACGCTGATAATATCGAATTCAACGCATCATGCGGTCTCTGTTGTAGCAAAAACAACCATTACTACGGCGGCGGCTGCTGCTACTGGGGTCGAATTGTGCGCTGTGCTGAGTTTGCGCCGTAGAGCTCCATTTGGTAAATAATGACGTCGATGTCAGCAGTCGAGTCACTTGGACTTCGGGGCATCTTGGGCACAATTGGGTTTGGCGTTGGGCCCAACGCGTTGTGACTTTTTCGAACCTCTTTCGGCCTGGAAAACCTTCCCGTCTACGCTGACCCGCCTGAGACGCCGATTTGTCCCCCCCCCCCCCACCCTAATCACCCGTAAGCAGTAAATCTTATCGAACCTACAAACCTTATAAACGCTCTTTGCAAACCTCGATGTTGACGAGCATAACCACTAGATACATATGCATACGATAATATCAAAGAAAAAGAAAGACTAAGAAAAAAAAGTCCGGTAAACACGTGCGCTTTGAAGATGGCTTTGGACGTACGGGGACAGGCCGGCTAAACGATAGCAACAGCTTCGGAAAGTTGACAAAGGAACAAGACTAGAGATTTCCCCGACTCATCACAAAGACAAAGAGATACAGACACGCCGATTAGGGAATTGACAAAAGAGGCAAATCACACCTAGTCAAAATGTATTATTGCTATAACGATGCCAATAATAACAATTATTATAGGATGATAATTATTATAGAGATGATGATGATGATGATAAATGTGCTAAAACGAGAACAAGAACAAAAGAGAACCTACCATTTGTTTATAATTAATGCTGATGATGTTTATGAGCTGAAAATATGGCTATTAATATGGCTGCAGTATAAAAGATAACTTGAAAGCATATTGACGCATAACAGTGCAAAGATCATGTCAAGACAGGCCTAAACATATGGAGAAAAGCAAGCCAGTAGCAGCAATTGAATGAAAAGAAGCAAAGCGGGGAGCAAGCTAGATTGGGTGCTACCGTACACACCAATACAACTAAGTAACCTATTTACAACGAAATACGAAACAAATACAATATGATTCTTGCCACGACAAGAACGATGGCGTTTCTGATACGATATAGTAGAGTCCGTTGATGGTTGCATTCGACGAAACTGACTCTAGGCAAAGCAAATTCTAGGAGACACGTTAAAATGGATAGTGACGTTAACGCAACGTGACCCATAACCACTCCATACAAAACAACATTTTACCAAATTCTGGTGCAGCTTGAAAGTTTATTCGTACCAATACGCTTAGTGCGCTATTGTTATAAATAATATTGTAAAAATAACACTGATGATGCGATGGTGATAAATATGGAGAGCATGTTATTGAAACAACAAACACCAAACATGGCGCGTTGCAACGGCAAGTTGTCCCTAGTAATCTACATAGAAAAAGACTTGATTGCATCCAAGTGTGAAAGCGATAAGAGCAATCTGCTCGTTGAATCTTACGCTACTTTCGAGCAATGAGGATGTGCGAACCGAAAGAAAAACCGGGAGCTAAACACAGTAAGGAGGAGGAGAAAAGTACGAGAAAGAAGTGTACGCATGTGAGCGTAATTACGATTATTGTCACTACAAATTATACTGTCGTTAATTAGATGAAGCGATCCACCAGAAAATTGTCACATTGCGATAACAAGTTTTCTGATTATGATTATTGTTATTACATTATCTAAGTAAATAAGAATGTGACGTTGCAAGGTGGAGTGGAAAAGAGATCGAGAAGGATTGGATGCCGTAATGTTTCTGAATCTAGTGAATTGACAAGCATAAATTCATCTAAGTTTCTTTTTAATTTTCAGTAGAAAAACCAATAAGGAAGGGCAACATAACAGTAATAGACTACGGTATAGCCGCCACCGCGTGAGGCGCCAAGATAAGCGAATTTCTGCATTACATTCATAGCGCGCATAGATGCGTGTACTCTGAAAGTCTAGAGACAAACTCACTGACATAATTAATCAGTACTAATTACTATTCGTTTAACTGAATTTTAAGGATAAGATCTGATCCAGGCGCTAGACCTCTCCGTCCATCAGCCGCCTCGAGGTTGACATGCGATGAGCACTTGTTAATTGATCCTTAACTGTATACTTGTAACTGTAAATCATGATTATGCTTAATGTGATCATCATACTATAGGAGATAGTCTGTATTGGTGAGGATTATATAGACATTAATATCGGTACTAATGATTAAGAGAGATAATTGTGGTGCTAGACGTAGGCTACTAGCAAAATTCAAGTCTTGGCGCGCCACGATGGGCTTTCGCGCAGGCGGGAAAATACAAACAACGACAATTACTGGACAGCACATGGTAAAGGATATGGTGATGTGAAGTTTTGTTGTACGATAATTTATATACACAATTATAATGGGTGCACGCGTTATGTTATTTGTTATCATAACAACAATGAGGAAAATAGGACTACAACGGGTTGATTGAATAATAATAATGGTAAGAATGGCAACAGGATCTTGGTAAACATACAATTGATCCGTTTGACGTTATAGTGAAATTCGTGTAGGGAGATGCGGTCCCCGACAAATGACTGGTCGTATAAACTCATATAGAGAACAGTACTGGACGCCTAGAATACATGATAAAACTATTACGCAGCGCTGACGCTATTTAGGTTTGTTGTGGTAGTTAAATCTGCCCAAAGTGTTTTTTCTTGAGCGTTCATTGGGAAAAATGGTTTCTGACGGTCCATGCAGCAGATTCGGTGTCTTGCCGTTACGTGTCATTGTATCATGTATTTGTTTCCTGCGAACATGCATTGACTAACGGAGAGGAAATTTTGGTTTCATAATAATGACGATGGTTATTCTTATTATTGTTATAGTGGCGAAACTAGGGAAATACATTTTCTTCCTTGCCAAATTCAGCCGTCGAACAAGTGAATACTTCTTTATGTAACCCATATAAGAAACGCCTATCGCGACGTTACTAAGAATTGTCATGATGACGGGTATGATGAGAATACGAAAAGTACGGACGGAAACGGAAGTGTGACGTTGGCTAATTCATAATCATGAGCTGATAATAAAAACGTGTTGAATATTCATATATAGTTATTAGTATATAAATATATACATGTATAATGGCAAAGGCGACAATCGGCGTCTCGAAAATGTGCTTACCTATTTATTTGTCATCAATGTTTATATCTTGTCGAATGGCCGAAAGTCGCACTATGGATAGCATATCTATCAGAGACGACCGATGAAAAAGACTTCGTCGCAACCCCTGAAAAAACGATGTTTATCTTTAGCTTTGGCTAGATGACTCGCAAGTGACACGTAATAATCAATAATAGAAATGGGCGTGTAATAACGATCAAATTGTAAAGCAGTGGTATGTTTGAGCAGTCCACGCTATGCGTACCAAAGTGTGTAAAGAACGCAGATACGTGAAAGAAAAATGTGACACTATATTACATGGTATCTCCTTACGTGTATATTTGGGAGTCACATTAGGAGGCGGTTTATCTGTCGCTTTGATTTTTTCGAGGGGTTTGCGACGTGATCGGGAAGCCTAACGGGTATTTCAGTGGACAGCCTGCCCTTGTGCACCCACCAAGATAATGAATATTAAAGGGGTCAAATGTAACCTAAGTATTACCGTTGCACATCCACACATTATTATTATTATTATTACATTTGCTATTCTATTGATAACTGATCATTACCGCGGACATGTTCCGAGAAGTGAAGATAGCAGAATTATCGCGTTATTATCAAAGTGATGTTGAACTAGATCACCTTATTCAAGGTGACACCATCGGCCGACGGAGGACGACACCGCAAACTGCTAATAGCATTGCACATGAATGAAAAATATATAAATTATACTAATAGATAACTATATCACAATTATGGTTTACGCTTAACAATAAAACAAGGCCAGGCATACATTCTACGAAAAATATGTACGGCGCTGGTGATACGTTAGAGGCTGTGTAATGTTTGATGATGCTAATGATAATAATAATAATGTGGAATTGTGCGCGAGCAACGTGCTAGCACATAAGCTTATTATATATACAAATATTACGAATATATAAGTGTAAGAAATGATCTAGATGAGTAGTTGAACCCTTTTTTTTCGATTTTTGAATATGATGCATGTGCTCGCTAACAGACAGAGTCGCATACATAACCGCAGGCAGACGACCACATTCACAGAAAGATAATAATCATAATTAATAGCAATGTTTAATATGGCGGCGATGATGGTGACGATGATTATGATGGTAATGATAACGCTGATAAACTAAGCAAAGTCGGACAGAAGCTAATTAATTTCAAATGTAGCGCGGGAAAAGTATTGCAGACAGATTAAATATGCCGATCACGATGTTGCTATTGACGATACTGAAATAATAATAATAATACTATCATTTAGTCTGACACATATTGATGCTGATGGTGATGATGATGCTATTGTTAACGGACTGAAAGAAAACACACCACTTTAATTCTAATTGGAAAGAAAAGGATCATTTGAAGGATGCTAAAGAGCAAGAAAGACGAAGTATGGTTGGCTAAAATATTTTCATGTTGAATACTATTAGCTAAGCGCTGATGGTCTGCAAGAAAATGACGGATAGATGCTGACGTGCTCCCCGAGAGGCTTCGATTGACCACAACACTGTTAACAGCAACAGTCGCAGTGAATATCAGACCGACTATACGAACATGAAGCGGCTCCGTAATGTCTCTCTCCTATGAAGTCGCGTCTGTCCAACAGTCACACTGTATTTTCTAGCCCGTGGAGAAGTGCCTTGACATTAGCCTGGTGGGTGGAACACGACTAGTAGATTAGTAGGAGTGAATGGAAGGAAGGGATTCATTGAAAAGACTGAGGAGAGGCGTACTTTAGGTCATACAAACCGTGAACGGGAGAAAGAAAAGTAGTGACAGAGCACTTGTGTTATCACATTTCTTGTCGATGACATACGTGAAAGAAGGGAAAAGTTCGTTGTGAATGGTCGGCTGCAAAAGGGCGCTTTCACCCTCCCAGCTGGGTAAAGCGTTCTCCCGTTCTGTCTCCCTATTGGGAACTGAATCCTCTATAGTTTTTGCGTAGATGTGCGGTACTTTGGGTTAGCGTTAGGTATCGAACTACACACATAAAGGTATATATATATACATATATACCTTTATATATATATATATATATATATATATATATATATATATATATATATATATATATATATGCAATTATCTAGACTCACAAAATACATCTGTAGACTGGAATGAAGGAAAAAAAAGCGTTCAGAAAAACTGTCTTGGCGTCAAGGAAGGAACGATTTATTGATTGACACGTATCGATTGTCGAATATTTGACGAGACGGAGGTGAAATGTTTAAAAATGAAAGTGGCTTATTAGAGAAGAACAAACGCGATGGTTGATGGATCATTGTAGGCAAAAAAAACATTGATAATAGTAAGAAACAAAAGTGTACAAGTAAAGGAAAAACTCACTATCATAGAACACCAATAAGCATAACGACGGAATTACGAACTGAATATTACAACAGCTTCGTAACGAAAGGGAAAAGTATCACAGATGGAAAAAAATACGGCACAGAGGAGCCCTGTGTGCTCTTGTAATTTTAATATACACAAGAATTTGCAACAGTACACATTATGCATGCACACATACAAATATTTCCATGCAAGGGACTATAGGCTGCTTTTGCGCGCCGATTCCCTTTTAGCCTTGTCCATATTCAGCACTAAGAGTCGATACGATTCCTCGTCAAAGACAACAACAACAATAACCCTATAACCTAACATATCAGTAACCACGACAACCTTGGCCTCGAAACAAATTGCAACGGTTATTATATACATATGCATACATATAAATATAATATATATGATAAGATTCCGATTATAAAAAAATGTAATTAAGATCATTGCTTCACACGATATTATCTGATCAACTGTCTGAGGACAAGATACAATAAAGGTATTGATTCATCCTATCTTGCCACGCAAGACCAATACACGATATACATGCACATAGACATGGCGACGGGGGTTGCGGGGCAAACCCTAAACCACATGAAAAGAATACCTAACGTAATGAAAATAATAGAAAGGCTATTTTTAGCATACACAGATTTACAAACGCTAACAATTAACCACAAAAAATTGGCTTTAATACTCGTCTAGAACATAGACAAGAATAGAAAAAGTGGAAGTAACCGCACGCTGATCGCCAGAAGCACGTGTAAAACCAAAACGCCAGAGGCATTTAGAAGCATTTATTTGACAACGAAAAAACAAAACAAAATCGAAAGTGAGACGAAATGCGTTGGGGACTAGATCAATAAGAATACGTTGGAATACTAGGAGGCGGTATTCGACATCGTAAGGTTTACGAAGAAAAGTGTGTTAACAATAAATATGGAACTCTAAAACGATGGCTAAAAAAATCGCTTCTGAAAGCTACGGCATTTATCGGGCCCTAAATAGCCGAAAAGAGGAAAAGCAAAATATAGATCTGAGAGAGGTCTATGAACGGCAAAATTGTCGTGAAGCCGTCTTGCTCCAGATGGCAATTGGTTTAGGCATCGACTGTCGAATTTTAACAGTAACTGAACAATTAGCTGCTACGTATTATCGGGATATTCTGATTGACCACCATTATCTCTGGCGGTGTCCCCTAAGCTAACGACTCGAAAGGAAACTCAGTTGTCTCAGACACGGAAATAGCTAAAAGAAAGATGGACGTTTTCCACAGCAACAACATCGCATAGCATGGAACATCAGTAAAACACAGTAAACACACGAAGAGATGACAGCGGGAGGATAACGACAGCAGAAACATTACTAAAGCGACAAACAACAACAACAACAACAACTGTACCGAGACTTCTACATAAAGTGCATTATAACTCAAGATTATCAGTCCGCTGTCTTCCTTTTTCTTATGCAACGACTTGTCCTATTCTTGTCCTGCCTATTACTGCTGTTATTTCAATATTATCAGTCATCTAAACTATTCAGCACTTGTTTCTTTTTCCTAATATTACTTACATAACGAGTATGTATGAATTTCAAGAATATTGCCGTTGTACGAGCAAGCCTAAGCGACCAACGATTTTTCTTGCTATTAGACCACTAATACTTTACTAAATAAATCAAACCATTTTCAAATTATTCCTTTCCTTCTAGCATTACCGAATCTCGTTTTCACTTTACAGAACTCAGATCATTTGATTGGTTGTATTTTTTCTAAATAGCCTCTTACCGACATTTCCCTAAATACAACAGCCAGATGGGTGCACCATGGTGCTTATATTAACATACATCCGATTAAGTAAGCACGAATTAAATTAGTATTTTTTTGCAAAAAGAAGGTAAATCATACCTTACTGTAGCCTTACAGGCTGACGAAATAGGTTCAGGCAAGTCTGAGCCTCCAGTACAAGGTTGAGAGGAGCACAGACACGTTTTTCGAAATCAATTAGAGTCATCTGAAATAACCAAAGCATAGCTAGGAGTATGAATCACTTTAGATATATGTATCTTGAAGAAAAAAGTATCTTTTATCTTTACGGACTTGCTTGTGGGTAGGTACAAGGTTTGAGTACTTTTAGGTCATTCCTCGACGTTCCCGTATCGTGACGGCTGTTTGTTCCTGCTGCAAGAATAGGATCCTCGGTGTAGCAATGGCCTTATAGTTCCTATTCCGAAAACAACTTTCCTGCTGAATCCCATGCACGGCTTTCACCAACCGCATGACAGTTATGGCTTTCGTCCGACGGCTTCTTCCAACGCATTCTCCATCAATAGCTAGCCTCAACAGGCCCTTTAACAAAGACCTGAGATAATCTTCATCTACGTTTTCCGCACTTTTCCTTCCTAATCGCTTGTTCAAGCTTTCGTTTAGCTGAGGCCAGCAGTTCCGGTTACAGCAAAAAAACCTTTCAAACTAACTTAGCTAATTTCTACTCTTTTCCGCAATATACGAATTTCCTTCTATAAAAATCCGTATTTGCACAACAGAAATACTAGAGAACGCACAATCTGAATATATTTGCGTATCGTGTAATTATAAATAATGCAAAAAACATATTAAATTATTTTTCATAATTAAGTAATTGTCCACGAGGATAAATGTATTTTAAACGATAACGTTTGTAAAAACTTACTCTGAAAATGGTTTACAAACATCATAGTTTACGTTTTCTTGAAAAGACTAGGATTCAAGCGTAAAGGTCCTAGAAAATTTAATGAGCGGTAGAATTGCGTGAATCGTTGTCTATATTTTTGCTCTCTATATTAACCTATCTTACTGGTTTTGCGACTATGGTAAAAAATCATCCAGCATATCTATGTATTTGCCCACTAGTGCAAATAGTAACGATCTCCTTCTTTCCACAAGGCAGCCAGACAGGCAGTGCTGTATTTATGACAGAGAAAAAGCCTCTGTACAATGATTAAGCCTTCGACACCCGTTATTAATATATTCTCGAAATTACGTTATATAAGAAATCCATTTTCATGTCAGGGGTCCTTTGAAGGCGTTAGTCATCTTCAAGCGCAAGCTAACGCGCTGCGTATAACAAAGACAAATATTTGTTTTACTTATCTCTATGACTCACGTTCATTACACAAAACACAAACATGCAAGAAAATAATTGTTTCGTTGCTATATTGGAACTTGCACCAAAGTCATTTATTTTTATTTTTTAATAGGGTATAATTTTGCATGTCATGTGATTTTCTTTTATATTATTTATTGAATTTTGGAGCTGTTATGTGTTTCAAACGTCGCTGCTCTATAATCTAGGCTATAAATCATGCATAAGAGATAAATAGACTAACACTTAAATGCTTATTTTCCTAAAATATATTGTTAAATTTATATCTTTTTTTTTTTTTGTTATGCTGTTTATTTCACGTTCGAACTTAACTTTTATTATATTGAACACAATTAGTTTCCTATTGATGATAAGACTGACGGATTGATGACGAAGAATTGATGAATGTGATGCGAGACAATCATCATTGTATTCACGTAACAAATCTCTTGAGCCACAGAAGGTGTGGAAATAAGCAATATGAACGTTTTTTCAAGTCGACCCTCGGTGCCTTACAACTTGCGATGTTCTGAAATCTCTTCTGCCATAGTTGTCCAAATGTACTAATTAAATATTATTCAACATTTAGCAAAGTCATATTTCTCATGCGCACATGAGACAATAAATGAAGATCTTGATTTACATAAAAGTAAAGGCGTTTTTATAGTTCATAGAGCGTTCTCTGGTACAAGCAGGGAGTGCGAATCGCGTTCAGTGTTTCGAGCTGTGCCATCGACACAGCGAAGAATTAGCGCATGTGTTGGCTATATTTCGAGCTGCACTTTATGTAAACAAAAACAATCACTTGGATTGTAGGAGAAATTCAGAAATTATATTTGAGGATTTTAAGTGAATTAGTAATTGAAACGTGCTGTGGTAGTAAGCGTAGCATCGGGTGGATGTCCGTTTTTGCTGTGAGCTAACTACAATACATCATTAGCGTGAATAAAGTCGATAATAGCCCGAGGGTGGAACATCTGTTCTAAGTATGCATTAGCCTTTTTTATCGGATAGGCATGAAGATAAAGAAGTTGTGTTCCTAGAAATGTAGAATAGGCATCTACCGGGAAGGGTTAAGATGTGCGCTAAACATTGTTCTGAACATGACATAATCAGACTGAGCAGACACATAAAGCGCACAGTAAAGAGTTAGCTAGTTCGAATTTTACTTTTAAAGATGCGTTTCCGTGATATCTGCCTTTCGTAGAGAAGCGCGAAAATGCAACTAATTTATTTAAAAATTGTTTCCTACATAAAAGAAATATTATAATGTAAGATTGAGTTTATAGCGGTGAATCTGCATATATGCAAATATGTTTGACGGCTGTTGCTAGACACCGATCGTAATAGCGCAGGGGTAACGTTGGAGACCTAAAAGATTAAAGTTTTCGATTTAAATTTTACAAAATACACGATACGGCCTTACTGTTGAACATATTTTTAGCAGTATTTATATTATTGTTATTAAGTGTGCCTGTTGTACCCGTTAAGAAACATAACAATGTTCTCAAATTATGGTGCTATTTTAGGCAGGTTTTCGTCCCAAGTTCAGGCTTCTGCAATGGAAATCTGCTAATGGATATCCGAATCTTCTTAGAATTGAAGCTCTACGATTGCCAGGAGACTGTTACGATCAAGGGCCTGTGCGCTGAACTGGGTATCTCAATTTTTACCGCTCGGAAAGCTTTGAGCGAATTTGTTGAGTCGTTGAGAAATACGGAGAGTGCAAGTTATCCCGTAGATTTGATTTACTATTACGCCGACATTTCTAAAGGCCGTGTATCTCTAAAATTTCGGCCTGTGACTTCATTTGTCAGCAACCATCACGTGGTTGCCATTGCAGCCAAATTTGAAGTTTATGACCTAGTTGAAACCGACGTGGGCTATTTGCTCGAGGGCCGTGTACCCACAATTTTCGAGCCACCGATTCCAGACTTGACTGAAACCAACTAGATCAAATAATTGTAACCATTTTTCTGATGAAGTCAATTAATGCTATTGAAGCAGTAACGGCTTGTGGAAATCTTTCGATTACGGAACAAGAGTACGCAGAAATCGTAGCATTCGGCATTTTTCGTGCACAAAACTCTTTTGTAATGACATGTGTAGGCGACTATTATAATAATGGACGACCAGTCAAATAAAGCCGAAGTGAATTTTAGTTGCCAGCGATGCGGCCATCCGCTCAAGCTCGACTCTTCATTTAGTGCCGTTGATGACCGTCTCGCTACGGACCTGGCAGCACCAATTGTATTACTCAAACCTTCAGCGCACAACGAACAGGTGACGCCCGTGCAGTCGACAGATGGAGTTACCAGACGTGTTACTACTCCGCTCCAGGTAGAGCTGAGAACGATTCTCATAATATGCTCATGCAAGTAATATAATGGGGGATACATATTAACATATTGTATCGGTGCTTAACCCTGTGGATATAATCGTGATGTTGCTTAAACAATTTTCATGTGGTGCATTTTGTACATGTGTCACTTTTCGTAAAAAAAATTTAACGTCTTCCTTCATGTGCATATCGCAACCGACCTGAAGCAGACTGCTAACAGACGAGGGTTCAATTAAATTACCATATAATTTGGTAACTCTATTATATATTTACTTTATATCTTTACTCGTGTGTCCTGTATGGAGGTTGTGGAAGCCGGACCAGGTACGGGCATTGCAGGCAATGGTGACTTTATGCTCGTTGGCAGCAATGTCCATCCAGAGGCTGGACGATTTTCTCTCCATCTGGAAATGACTGCTCAGCTCTTCGATGTGCTTACGGACGAATCGGAAGTAGAGCATCCGTTATGCGAGGATTGCACAGATTCGTTGCTGGATCTCATGGAAGATGAATTGACGATTGCCGAAGCTGAGGTGTGTAGCTGTGGCCAGGATAGCTCGACAGACCGGCATGCGTGGTCGATATTCTTTTATTTTATTTTTTTTGTTTGAAATAAATTTATTTGTTGGTTGCATACGTGTGTGTATATATATTTTTTGATTCACTGTATGCTGGTACCAAAGTTGTATTTCTATCGTTTATAAGAAAAGTCGTAGAGATCTCCTTACAGAGCTATGTATGTTTTAATCGCGAAGGACACTCAAAATAGTGTATCATACATTCGCAGGGTTATCAATACTGTTGTTCAAATCGAGTTGGTAAAAAAAATGGAACAAAAAGGTTATTGGCCAAAAATGGGTAGAAAGCGGAATTACTTTTGTGTTTGATACTGCGATTAATGAGGCAATTGAATGCGACTTTCAATGAAATTGAAAATTCTTTACAAGTTACGTTGTATTAACACTCACAATGCTTATAACTGTCTCATCAGGTAAAAGATTATAAAAAATACCTTAGCGAGCGCAGCGAGAATGACGAAGAAAGTCTTGATCAGTTGGGTATGGAGCTAAAGGAGCTTCAAGATGAAGAACAAGATTTGATTGCACGACTGCAACGCGTCGAAACAGAGCGTGAGGAGGTAATGAACAAAAGGAAAGCGTTAGCAGGCGAGCTGGAAAAATTAGTCGAGGATGAGAAAAAACATTTCAAGGTTTATATGGACCTCAAGCGAGAGTGGATGAACGCAACCGATGAAAAGGTGACTAAGTTGGTTATTTGTTTTTTACGAGATACGTGCATTGCGTATGCACAGCAATACGTTTATAGCAATGTGTTTATACTGCAATATATATATATATATATATATATATATATATACATAAGCCAAATAAAATGTATATCTGTTATAATTGTTATGCCAATGATCTCAGCTTTTAATTTTGGGACAAGAATGGCATGGTTAAAACTCAGGTTATCAACAATAGGTTGTTTTACAATAGCATTTGTAGTAATTTTTAAACTGTAGTTATAGACACGACTAGAATGGGAATAATCAAGCTAGCAATTTGGATAATTGAAACTTAATTTTTAAAGTAAGGTGATCCTTTTATACTAATCTACTTATCTCAGGTAATCGGTTTTGGTGTAATATTTAAGTTGATGTAAATCTCCTTGTCTTTTAGGTATCTGTAGAGAATCAACTTAATTATGCGAAATCTCAACTGGATCTCCTGGAGAAAACGAACGTTTTTAACGCCACATTTCACATTTGGCATGATGGACACTTTGGTACTATCAATGGTTTTCGTCTCGGCCGACTTCCAGATATTCCGGTTGAATGGAAAGAAATCAACATTGCTTGGGGACAGACAGTTCATTTGATGAGTTCTCTAGCCAAGCGCATGGATTTTACGTTCGAAAATTATCGACTCGTTCCGTTTGGCGACCACGCTCACATTGAAGTCCTCAGCGATAAAGGTGTTGATAGACTTCCGCTGTACCATACGGGCGGACTAAGATTTTTGTACGACGTTAAATTCGATCAGGGCATGGTCGCCTTTCTCGAATGTCTGGCACAGTTTAAGAACGAAGTCGAAAAACGAAACAGCGATTTCACGCTACCGTACAGTATGTCACAAGGCACAATTACAGATAACAATAGTGAGAAGGCTTATTCGATCAAATACCAAATGAACAGCGAAGAGGAATGGACGAAAGCACTGAAATTTATGCTCACTAACCTAAAGTGGGCTGTTGCTTATTATACAGCCGATATCTAAAAAGAATTGGTTATCAATAGAAACGTCTAAAGTTTCGCGTCGAAGTAGGAACTGTCCGAGAATAAATGGTAAGATGAAACTCAAAAGGGCCGAGTAATTGAATCCGTGAATTGGTATCCAGTTAGTTGTTTCATGAACAGTGAGTAGTTCGGTAGTGAGATAATATTGAAGAACAGAACAAATAATTATCAGAAAAGTAATGCTATCGCTACACCGTATTGACTAAGTGTGTGTCGAACGCGTTTTCGTCAACGTCGTTTTTGTGGATTGAGCTCAGTACGCAAAGTAGGCTCTGCCTTTACATAGTATTTTGAACGTTTATTATCACATACATAAGTCTCAATAAGTATCGAATGTGTAGGAAATCAAGTGCTCATTAGGGGAAGCTAGGGAAAAATAAATGTGAATTGCTAAGTTTTTTATTTTAAATACTTTGGCCATGTTGAATATCAGCCAGTTTGCATACCCCTCCGTAGTGGCAGAGAGGAAAATAACGTAAATAAAATACACTTGTCTATTACTTAAGAAACCTCGAAGATACTGTGTTCTGTTTTAATAATATTAGTTTTATTTCTTTAGATCCAATAATTTTGGTGGCTGCAGTGTTAATGAAAAAAAAAGCGACTTATAGGCGAAAGACGTTGATGAAGCCAGCCTCAACTAATTTGCTTCAAGTTATCCTATTCAGTAAGTAAAAATTGTGATGCAATATATATATTTTTATGTAGCTCTACGTCAGACAAATGCCAATTTACTTGAGGTCTACCTATAACAATGGTATCAAGTAATTCGATAAAAACTTCCCGGTCTTGGACAAAAATGAAGTTTTCCCTATTGTATTTAAGCCACTTGACAGGTATATAGTTTACGAAGTATGCACCTCTTGAGCTGCTTTCGATTTGCAAACGCTTTTTTAGACTAAGGTCGTTCTCTTTACAGTTTTAGTGTCACTCGGTTTGGTACCTGTTGTCTGTACTCTATTTACATCGATTTGATAGAGCCATTGGTTAGGGGCGCGCGGCTATGATGTACGCGCAGTTGCGTCGTTAACCAATAACTTGCCGATGTTATCGTTTTGTTGTTATCTCCCTGGCATGTTGCATCGCATTCATTCTTAGCTTTGGTCTATATCTCGGTCTCTATTCGATACTGTGAGTCGTATTTGAAAGTGTCGTTTTCGCTTCCCGCTCCCCTCATGGATAACACACCCTCACCATTAAGCCATATGATTATAAACGCAGACAAGCCAAGTGATACATGGCTCGACAGTTTTTACATTTTGCCTATTAGAGCTGCATTTAGCTTTTTTTCTAATAAAGCACTGCATGTGATATTTGGTGGATTAATGTGCTTAAACGTCTGAACCTAGCCATTAGCACCGCTTGGATTACAGCTATTATGCCATAACAGACATAGCTGCTGGCACGTTTTATATTTATTTCTTGTTTGAATTTTTATAATGTACTTTCTTTTTGAATAATAATTTATTTTCCTTATTCAGAAGGTACAAAGTCATACATTATGTTGGAATATTACCAAAGTCGACAGATATACGATAGACAGACATAGTTATTATTTATTTAAACTAAAATGTCACTCTTCTATCTAGTAGCTACCCGGGCTAAGAACCCTGAATATCGGTTCAGTTTTATTATGCTAAATTCGTTGCGGCATTGTCAATCAGATCAGGACCAACTGAAATGAATTTTTGCTACCAAAACTGTAACAAGCTGTTGTGTCCTGACGCGTTCTTAAAGCACATAGGCATTTAAGTGATAATCGAGTTAGCGGTTTTGATCAATTTATCTAAAAATGTAGTAATGTGTGAAATCTTCTGACAGAGTCAGGCGATGTATCGCACCACCGAGGTTTGTTTATTTAATATTATTTTAAATGAACGATATCCCTTACAGTTAATGTACACAGTATTAATATCTTTGAAATTACTCGATTGGGCTGCGTGTATAAAATTATGAAATTTTTCATAATATAATTATTATCCAAGTAGAGCCACTTTGTCGGCATGGTTATACACCATGCATATCCCTGACGCAATTGATATATTTAATGATAAACAAATGGCTTTCACCTTTCAGAATCATCATGATGATATTTTTTGAAGGATGAATTCTACAGCGAAATTGTGCAGGAAAATTTGAATCGATTAAATTTGATTAAAAAGTAAGATTTAACAAACCTGAATTTAAGTGGAAAGATTTCAGTGTTGTTCATGATTCACTGTCCGTATACCAGGTTCAGGTAATATGCTGTAAAAGTAATTCTAAATATTGATATTATTGAGAATAGCGAGTGTTGCTTGCTGTAGCATATGGTATTTAACGGTTGGCAAAAACAATTTTGAATAAACATGTTTACTGTTGAATTTATCGAAAATTCGAAAGAACGCTGTTTGCTTCGCTTATCACTGTAGATCGTTACGATGTTGCTTTCATTTTCGAATAGATGAAGGAATTGAAAAACCATTGTAAAGGACTCACGGTATCTGATTATATTATTTAGGCAAATCAGTTAGAGATCAGATAATGATAATGTTCATAGTACGATAGCCTCATTTTACAAAAACCATATAGTTGTAAAAAATCTTCACTAAAAGAGGGGGCTTGCTTAACGTTGATACCTTATGAGCGAACGCCAATCGATAGATTGCGATGAGCTGAATAAAACGTATGCCTAGAATTCAATGAGCGAATCAAAAATAAATTTCAATTAGGAAACTGAAGCGACAAATGTAGAGTATTAACTGAAACATGTAAAATCTTAAAATGTTTAATAATCTTAGAATATTTATTTATTTTTTTATTTAGAAGGATAGGTAACTGTTGAATATAAAAAAGAAAAGATAAAAAGTTAATCTTCGGTAGCGTCCCGGAAACACACTCAATAGGTTAGCTTACTCTATCAATGACAACATCTCGTAAGGGATGGCAAAAGGCCCACTCGATTCGCGTTCGCTACAAAATCATGGTCAATCAGTCAACACTAAAGGCTCCGTAATTACATTAGGTAGAGTAATGAAATAATTACCGGCGAGTAATAGACCAGGGTAGCTCGTCATATACACCGTCAGTGTATATGAATTATAGATTATATTATGTAAATGTTTAACACATATGATGATTCCATTATACATAAGTGGTCCGCATATTAAGAACTTATGTGCAGCCTTCTTTGTAAGAAAAATGTTTCAATAGTCGAGTTTATCCAGCACATACCACTGTCCTCGTAGATGTCCATAAGCGCAGTAAGTAGCAAGTGTGGCAACAGCGGCGTGATAAGTTCAGTCGTTTTTTTTAATTTCTTCTGCGTAACGTCTCCTAAATAAGTGACTGTAGGCGCCATTTGAACGAGACCCATAACGTTAAAGGAGATTTAGTGACAGCTGAATCTGCCTGAATGCGATCTGAAAAAAACTGGTTGATTGCTGTTAGCGCGTCGAGGTAAGCTCGCTACACGTGTCAAAATTGCATCGACTTCCCTATTTCAGATAGCAGTTCCATATTAAAGTGCGTAATGATATTAACGATAGAGTTGGGTTTCCATCCTGGTCTTCAACCCAACATATTGGGCTTCCAGATCGATGTACAGTACGATTCAGGAATTATTGCGTTTCCTGGCTACTTGAACGACATTAGGGATGATATGAACAAACGAAGCAAGAACTTTCCGCTGCCATACAACATGCTGAATGGTTCGGTTATTAATGATCGCGCTTATTAGATTAGATGCCTGACGACCAAGCCGGAGCAATGGACGAAAGCGCGAATACATGCTCATTAACACCAAATGGATTCTCGCGTATCACTCCGTTGCTTTAAGGTAATTGTAGTATTATTACTGATGTGCCAATAGTAAATACTTGGTTTTCATCAAGGTGGCTGACCGGAGAATTTATCTGTCGTTCCGAAATGAATATCTATTATTATAGCCGTGCATATCATACATACATAGCACACAGACAGACATTCTCGGTGGAGAAGCATCGATGCAACTCACACACCGTAAGGTCGTACTTTAGACCTTGTTGTTTGTTGACAAGGGGTTGCAGATCATGTATCTTCCGTTAGGAATAGTTTATTGTTTTAAATTAACCATAGCCATTAACTTAAAAAAGAATATTATTGTTTTTTATTAATGGGCCTCTATAGGCTGCTTTGGAAGGTGCTGAAAGACGCAGTTTTAACTGCGTTCGTCCAGATATCTGCATAGTTGAGTTTGTTATGTATACTGATAATTAAAAAAGTTTCTCCAAAAAGAGTTAGTGAAGTGCTAAGTTGTTTATAAAGAAGTAACGTATAAATAACGAATAAGGAGTATACAAAAACTAAAGTGAAAAAATATAATCTAGGACAGTGTAATATCTTAATGTGTCCAAATATATTAGATGACAATGGTCTGATTTGGTTATATGTGGCGATCATTGTGTACTGATCCAAACGAATTATATTGGTATTTGATAATAATAATAGTAATAAGACTATTTTAATATGGCGACTGCAGGAATGTCACATTCTCCGGATTCATAACCACGATATTCCAGAATTGACTATATACCTAAAGAGCAACTAGTATACCTTTCCAAACCATTTAGTTCCTAATTCCGTATCACCATTCGCTTACATTTTCCAGTGCATGTATCGTAGCTTTTCCTACCCGTAAAGTACTCGAACTGGCATCTATAACGCCGCGCCGATCAGGTATTTTGCGAAACTATTTTTGCTGAATAGTTTTAGCTTGTGCAAAAAATGTGTATCTTGAAACTCCACTTGAATTATTTTTTCGTCGAAAGTTTGCACGTAATTCCTTCTAACAGTCTTGTCCACTACTAAATCATATTAGCAGCTTTAGTAAGTGGGATGTCGCTTGCCGGTTTCCTATATATGTCCTATAGGTTAACTAAATTGCTTTCAGTTATTCAATATAAAACACTCAATACATGTCTTTCTTTCTTTATTCTACCTTACTAGGCGGCGTAAACTGTTTAATCCGTGTAATCTAATATTCACGACCGCGAGTTAATCGAAAAGCAGCATCATTCCATACCTGTAATGTCCATGTGACACTAATTGGGCCAGCGATTTTCGTGACGGCAATAGAAACATTTGAAATATGCTTCGTTTAAGTAGTGCATAACGCAGTAGGCACTGAAGCAGTTTATATCTTAGCGAGGAGCGCAGGAATATCATGTCTATGCCCGCAAGTGGGGCAACTGGGATTGCTGCACCCTCTCTTCTGGTGACTGTAACTGTGATCCGCCGAACCCTTGGAAGTTTCGACCGCGTCAGCGTAGGCTCCAGCAAGAAACGTGAGCGGAAAGAAGGGGATATACTTTTAGATTAACTTTACTAAAGCCTGTTAAAATCTGGGGAATGTTTGTGGACACGCGATCACAAATGCAATTGAATTTGTTTCAGTAGCAATTAGGAGGTCAAACATTTTTGTAAGTAGGTAGGAAGGGTTGATTCAAAAAAACATAATGATACGTCGACGTTGAGAGACAGTTCGCATTGTGTGAGAACACCCCCGTAACAACTTTATTGTAATAATCAAGTTGCGCTCCAGATGGAGCAATTAACATTATTTAACATTGATTAAACAGTCTTGATGTGTTTGTACTGAAAGCTTTGACATATGACAAACATGACGATTGATGTTGTAATCCTTCTAATGACCAGGTATAACATAAATGGCTCCGTACATGCGTCAACGTACAGAGCACCATATGGCCTCGGTCGTATTGTATTCGCAAGAACCGATCTAATAGAATGGTATTTTCTGCGACGGTAGAAGTGTGTTAGATAGAAAAAGTTATCAATTTGACGATTTAGTAGAGCTTTACTTTTTATTAGCTGGACAAAGGACGGAATAGATATGACATAGTCCGACATACGGGTGGTCTAGAGTGGCTAATTTAAAAGGGTTCTTACATACACAAGTTGTGCACATAACAAGCTAGGAGTTCCGCTTAAGTACTGAGCTAAAATAATAGAACGCATATGAGATGGTTTTCATTAGTGATTAATTCGGTTAAATGCTGAACATGAAATCTTAGTTATGACATAGACCTACACATAGACAACAGCAGCGATAACAACGGTAGCACAAAGAAAGGCACCGAAACACAATCCTCCGAGATAAGTAATCCATGATCCAACAAATGTTGATTTGCTATGAGAAGCCAGCCACACGAAAAACCCGAACAAGGTTTGAAAATCGTCTGCTAAAATCGTCTGCTAAAATCAAAAAGGTATCGATAAATGGCAGCCGTAGCAATTCGACGAGCAAACTCGCTATGAGGGGTTAGCCGTGTCTGTACTGATCTGTATAGCGCATCTGTTACCGCTGGGTGTAGCACACAGATCATTAAACCACGATCTATATAATTCTCGATTAAGAGGACAACACAAGAATACAACATCGCAAACAATCGTGTAAAAATGCTAATACTTTCAGTATTCACAGAGCTAAGTAATATCTCAGGTGTAGAGGTAGTTTTTGACTTTGTGCGAATTGACCATTGTTATCTTATGTTCCGCGTATTAAAGCGATTCTCTAGGCCTTCTATTCATTTGGAAAAGCTTTTTGGACTGCTTGCGTGAGGCGAAACAGATCGGCGGAAATCTAAACTGTGGCAATTAGCTATTGAACATGACAAAATTATTGTAACAACTGGTTGTTGCACGGCTTAATTTAATAAGTTTTAATTAGACCTGATGTATCACCACGATGTAACGGTGCATATTTTATGTCTTTTTTTTTGTTTATTAAACAATGTTTTAGTTACGTCGCGCAATATAGATTCTGTTACGTGAAGCATCGATAACTAAGGATTAGATGCCTTCCTGTTAAATACAAGTAGATAAATTTCGATATTTCAATAAATGACATTTTTATTGTTAAAAATATGTGTAATTGCTTGAGAAAGAACGCACTGTTGCAATACAGGCTTCTACAAGCCCATTCTTACCAGTTCATTAGGACCTATTCTGAGTTCCCTAAAAAAATGGTCATATTTAAAAAAACTACCTTTTTTTTGAGAAAACTTAAATAAATGCTATGTCGACTTTAGCAGTATGTCGGTAGCAGGCTTAAGTTCCATAATATAACTTCCGATACCGGTATTGTAGCTCGGAAAGAGCACTGCCTTTTAGTGTTAGCTAATATCGTCAGATTGAAAATTCTACTACAACAGCATAATCAATTATTTATATGCACTAAATAGAATCATGTTATCTGTATGATAATTCTAACATGATACCACCGTAAATACTCGCTGTGTTTACTCTTCTGAAATATTGTAAATATATCAACAATCTGCCCCCTTGGCGTGATAAAGGTGAATTGACCTAATTTTCATTCTCGTATTCTATTTACGTAGACATAATAAATACTAACAACGCAGGTCTCGGTGGATCAGACGGTTCCATTTAGGGTTATGTTAATAACCTTGAACCGTTTCCGACAGCATATACGCAGTCAGGATAAGAAAGTAGAATTGCTAACAACTATAATAAGAAAAAAATTCAATGACATCCTACGCATTGCTGCTGGAATGTTTTTTATTTTGTTACCAGACTTTGGCCTTGATCAAACTCCACTTTGTAGAACTGATGAGGCAACCAAATGATGCCGATTTCGATAAAGTAAATGGGAGCTCAATACTTAAAAAATCATTAGGTATTGGTGAAGAATTTACCATTGTGGCCTTGGATGATGCATTGCTTCACTGGAACAAATGCTAATTCGGTCAACGAAAAAGCTGTGCCTTATGTTTTATAGGGTTGGTTTCGTTGAATTTCAAGTCTTACTAGCAGTAAACCTTAAAGAAAGACCTTATAAAACATTTCAGTGGCTGTAATAGATGCTATTGGCGAAAATCAAAAGGCTATAGTATTATTACTGATAATTTCTGCTTTTTAGATTTATTCAACTAGGTTTGCTTTAACAGATATATCAGTCTATCTCCGCTTAATACCCATGATGTCCATGGCTAAAAGAAATACCATAACCGTACCCGTGGCCAATAGCCTCGGGGGCGGCTACATGAATAGGGGTGGCAATAGCGGCCTTAGCAATGACTGGGGCAACGTGATGCTTCTGGAAATAGGTGTGCGAGTGGCCGACGTGATGGACCGGGGCGGCAACAACAGCCTTGGAGATAACGGGGGCGGCGATGGCATGGCCATATCCGTGTCCATAGGAGGAGCCGATAGAGGCGTGGCCATATCCATGACCGAGGCCGTGACCTCCGAAAGTGGCCTGGGCTGCGGTAACAGCCAAGGCGAAAAAGGCGACAACCTAGAGAAAGAAGAATTGGTGAGTTTTTCGAGTACGTAGCTTGAAACGAACGACTTGTTTAGAAACTTATCAGGGTATCGTTAAGGTAAATTCAATGACAAGTCTCGTCATAGGATTCGGTGGAAAATGAGCAACAGATGACGTTTGAGAAACAGACTGGTCTACTGTCTACAGAGGTCACGGTGAGATTAGGTACTGTGAACAGTTCGCTTCAAGTTGTAACTTAGCATAGTAGCAAGTTGCACTCACAAAGAACATGTTGATGCAGTCGTGAGAAGGAACTACGATGAAGTCCAAATCGCGAACGGACTTTTATACCCGGTGGCACGCCCTTACTTAACGTAGCATCGACTGCGGTCGTACCGTTCGTAATAGAAAAAACTCGCTAAACTAAACGCGATTGACCTTCCAGAAGAATCAATACTGGCAGTAAAAATCGAACCATTCCAGCTATTAGACTGGTCATCGTTTTGTCACTGGTAAATATGCTTAATAATCTACCCAAGCCTATAATGTTATTAAATATCTTAACCTGCGTCAACTAATAGACGATAAATAGATCTAGCTGTTTAACCCGTTATAGCTATCTGTATTTTATGTACCTGCGTTATAGGAGGGCACGAAGCATGAGACACCCATTTTGGCAATATTTGTCGCGCTATTGAGCATTGAGGATGCAATTAATTTAAATTAAATTTTCTATTTTTGATCGTACATGTGAGTGACAGTGTATCGATTTTGGAAGTATGCTGTCCAGGGTTGTTTAGAAAAAAAGACATTTTTTTTAAATTGCGCAAACTTTTTTCAAAGTTTTACTAAATAAGTTGTCATAGCTCATCAATTTTATAGTGATGAAGAAATTTTTTAGGAGCGCAGTATAATACCAATGGTAGACAAAAGAACATTGATATTGAGTAACTTGGGTCTCCTACATAAGACACGAAATGTTTGATGAGTGTATCTAGAAGCCTGGACAAATTAAGCTTAGCGCCGGGAGTATATAGAGCCCAAATGATTAATTGATTAAAAAATTATTTATCACCAACGATGTTCGTGTGAAAGACTTCTATAAAAATTGTACATCGATATAAGCTTTTACGATTAGGTATAAAAAAATACGCTTGTCAAAGTACCCGTCCGTCAAGTTTCATTATGATTAACTTACATTGGTGTGTCTATGTGGACCGTCTGGAAGGGATCTAACCCAACCATAGTTTAACTGCGACAATAAGAAATAGATTTTTTTTTATATTTAGATTATATTTATATAAGTCTGAACAGACCCATAAACGAGGGACAATGTAAATCAATAGACTGTACAAATTGTGATTACTATATGACATTGCAGGATCACACCGAAGCACTGAAATTGAAGCCTATATCAAAACCCGGTTTTCGGTATCTTGAATGTATAAAAGGTATTTGTCGACAAAGTATTATAAGCCTAACACTTTGTCTGCTTCAACACTCATTTTGATGCAACGATTTCAACCCCTATATTTATCGCACTTGTACGCTAGCAATAATTCTTGTTTGTATATATTATAGGGACCAATTAGTGACGCCAAGCGTCAATTTTCTCGAACAAGCAGTAGATAAGGAAATTATTTTTGGTTATGCAAATACAACCGTTAAGAGCTGCTAGAGCGTTAGTTTTAGTTTGTGGGTATGTTTCGTTATAATAAAGTGTTAGATTGACTAGTCTGTCTGAGTTGCCTGAAAAGGACATGGCCAAACCGTACCTTCAGTTATTCAAGAATCCTTACTGAATCCCGCGTTTCATACAACGTTATCAATAAATATCAGAACTGCGGAAAGTCAGAGTAGGACGATACTCTATTTGATTAATTCGCCCTTCATTCATATTAAAAAGGTATACTTTAAAGAACAGGGCGTTACAATATTCGTCGTGAAAAAAGAGTTAACCAGAATTTAGTACTACCCAAGAAACGAAGGCCCGAGGCTTCTTACGTTGCTTAAGCTTTATCTTTAATCGATGCCTCGAAAGGCTGATAGAGATAATGAGATTTCTGACACAAGTTGTAGTTTAGGAGAAGGTACAATCGTGTACAAGTCATGGCAGGTTTCCCATGTTTCAGATCTGTAGTCTTAGCTCTTGGAAAATGCTCCTAACTTTTCCTTTATCAATGCTGTTAGCTTTCGCAGCTCATTATATTGTCGTATACATAACTTATCCTTATTGGCGCTACCCGAAATAGGAAGCCCCATCCTTATAGCAGAAGGGTATAGTAGAGCATGACGGTTTGAAGCAATTCGTGCCATGCTTCCATGAATATACCGTTTCCAGTGCTAACTGAGCGCATGCATGCGATCATTTTCCCTTATTGACTCTATTCGTTATTGCTAAGGCTTCTTGAATCCTGAATATACAGGTACATGCAAAATATTTACTGCCTATCATTACTTGTTCACCGCTAATACATTAATTTGACCTGGAATATCGCAGTCCACCGAATAACAGCTGCGTCTACATAAGCGGGTATCCATAACCGTGACTTAAAGGAGAAACAGCACCATTCTGTACCTATGACGTCCATATTTGATATGAGTTGGGGCAGCGATCTTCGCTACGGCAAGAGGGACATTTGAAGTATGCTTCGTTTACGTAGAGTACAACGAAGTAAGCACTGGAGCAGCTTGTATATTAGAGAAGGGCGCAGCAATAGCTTGGCGATCCGTGTTTATGCCAACTCAATCGCTATTCCATAGGTGTAATCGTGTCCTTCCAAACCTCTGTAACATCCGACAAACCGGTATACGGTGCGGCAATTGCAACGGCCAGAAGATCGAGCTAAAGTGGGTAGGAAGAGCAGAGCATTTTTTGTAGCTGAGCTTAATAGTTTCTAATAAGTCTAACGCTCGTTAGAATCTCATTGGTTTATAGCTGGTGTATGTAGCCTTTGAATTCGTCCGTTCGTAGACACGTTAGAACAATTGTTATAGCAGTTGTTGAAAATTTAGATCCTTTTATGCGTACATAGAGGGTTTACGCTCAGAGGCAGTTCCTATTGCGAAGCAATGGTCGCTGACAACGTCAAGCATACAACATTGTTTAATTAACGTTGCAAATATACATATAGTACCATGCAGCATGTAGAATCGAATTTTGAGTTTACAACTCAAAGATTGGTTCCACGCGAAAAAGTATTTCAACTTAAACTTAACTGAAATTAATTTATATTCCACGTTTGTGTGGTGCTAACTACTATTGGTTTTATATTCATACATATCCGCATATGGGAAGTATGTATCATCCTAAAGCTTGTATAGGACCCCCTCAGGGCATAGCAATTGGAGCGTATAAACAAGTTACTGGTAGAACAAAACACTGCCGGCGTAATTAGCCTTCTATGAGCAGGTTCGACTTTATGGACAGTTACAACAAGCGAGGTCCTAATGACCGTCATACCCAACGCATAATGTTTCTATTAAGAAATCATTATTTACAAGTAGCTTAATCTGCTACAGTTTTTAACTGTGCCTTCTCAGACGATAGAGTTATGTTGATATAAAATAGTGAAATAGGTTGATATAAATATCTATTTTAATTACAGCATATCTATTCAGTCTCGTAACATGAGGGTAAACTAAGTATATAATTGATCAAGATGATATCTATAGCAGACGGATCCTTGTTATGAGCTGGAACTGTGCCATTTCATTGGATCTTATAAAGAGCGGCTTCAGAGACGTAGCCAGACTTGATTTATTCCAGAAATAATAGCGTCAACGTAAGTTAAAACATCTACTGTAGCGGTATGGAACCTACGGCGAGTCAAGTAACTTTACATGCATGCACATATGACGGTGAAAGGGGACGTATCCTTATAATTACTATATTTTGTTTCATCATGAAAGATCACGAAGTAACAGGACGGGCTTCTAATTTAGAGAATGGCAAGATTCCTGTAGATAAAACGTGAATAATCGTGTAAACCTATAGCACTAATTAGGTTTAGAATGGGTACGAGCAAAAATGTTAAAGAAAACTTTGTGTCATTACGTGTTCTGTTGTTCACTCTTCGATAAACACAGTTGAAGCATACGTAAAAAAAATTAAGATGAAGAACCACCCACACAATAGGTTCGAGCAGAACTAAAAGCGTTGTTGTTTGCAGAACAGGCTGGCAATAGGCCAACCTCTGACCTAGAACCCTGGCCCCGTCATGCTGAAAGTCGTATGGCTGGTCGTTATTCGGTCCAGTAGCGATCTACGGTTTTACCAGTTCTTGACGACGCTATATAGGGATACTAAAATGGGAAAAGAAATATTCAGACCATTGGAAATTAACTTTGATAGCAAAATTAATCATTAATGGCAGCTGAAGTTTCCGTGGACAATTCAAACCGTTGGCGTCACCTTCATGTCAATAGTGCCGCCAAAGTGCCCGTTGAGATACCAGAACTGGAAAAAATGCACGTTTATAATTCAGCTTGTTGCCAAGCGCTTACAGCTTATGTTGTGTCGTATTTTTATCGTTTTAGCATACGGGTGCGTGCTTGTCGCCCTCTAAAAGCCGTGCACTCAATAACAATAGCATCGGTTTCGTGTAACCACGGAACCTTATTATTTCGGTGATGGTTGTGCGGCGTGACGACATTACGGAACAGTTGGTTCTCACTCATAGGATAGGGAGGAACTTTTTGTTTCCGCGATGGTAGGTCTGCTGTTTGTTCTAGAAAAAGCTAGCTCTTTGTCGCCGAGAAATGAATGCATACCCGCTCAGATGAAGAACCCGTTAGACTTTATCCCAATTTGGACCGAACACACGTGCAAAATATTTTACATATACAGCGCCCATCACAGATACTCAAATTTATAGAAGCAATATACAGTAAACAATGTAACGAAGATTTCGTGGGGAAGTCAAATAAATCGTTACCGCCGTGTGTTGTGTCTGTCAATATTTGACATATGTATACCAACGTTTCAAACAATTAAGGCAAAATGCAGAGCAATTTAACAAGCTTTCATAGGCATCCTACTCAAATACATTCTTTTTAACCTAGTTTTTGGCCTATCCGCAGCATTTGAGTACACTGATCAGGCTGGCTCTTTCACTGCTCGCTTTTTGTTAAGCTTCCGTACTTAGTTAGCTTCACGCTGGCTTCATTCACCATATTTTTTGGCCGCATGTCTCCATTACAGCAAATTAGACCACTCGCAAAAGCTGGAACTATAACGTCAGGCCCCTCTCACACTTGAATTTAAACGTTAGACTATACTATTCCATCGCGCATGTTAGAAAATATTGCAGACTGCGTTCCACATCAAGATCTTCAACACCGCGTCGATCCTGTCACAATTTGCGATCG